GGGGAGGTGTAGTTTGTGTTAGGTATATGTACAGTATACTGAAGATTGTGTTAGGTGGTTGTGAATGTAGACGGTATGTGCATGTATTGCTTAGCTTGTAATGTACAGCTTTTGGTGTGAGGATCTAAGTAAGGCAGCTCATTACAGTTAAAGAAGGCTGGAGCCATGGTGTGAGGGGGGAATTTCAACCCTACGTCCAGAAGATCGACCGAAACCACCCCATATTCAAGCTAAGGAGCAAGGGAACTCTTTCCCCTCAACCGCGGCCCCCATCTCCGAAACGCAAAGGGAATGGGAATCATCGCGGCCGCCAGACACCCCAGCAACGTCGCCGCCCACTGGATCCCCAGGTTCTGGAACATCTGCTTCGTGAATAGCGGAAACCCAGCCGCCACGCTGGAGCGGAGGATGATGTTGGCCGCCACGGTCGATGCCGCCCTAAGTCATGTCAGCCCACATGCCCGACAACACACAAGAATGTTCCGACCAACTCACATTGGGAGATACGAATCCACCAAGTAGTTGAAGCACGGGAGGAAGATGCACAGCACGCCAAATCCCACAAAGACACCGGCAGCGGTGGGTGCCATCCAGTGGATGCGCGGTGTGAACCCCGTCCAGCCGAACCTTTTTCCCCCTCACGTCAGCATGGTCTTCATGCGAGTCGCGAAGATGATATAGATTACACGTACCACAAAATTCCGATTGTGAAAAGCGGAGCACCGATCATCGCGGGCCCTAGCCGCCATTCCGGAATGGGGCGATCGTCGTTCGCGATGAGTTTCTTGACATATCCGGAATGCTGTGAGAGAATGAAGGCACAGGCGAGGATCTGGCCGATGATAAGGCCGATGAAGGGCAGGCTGCTGACGCCGAGGTTCATGCGGTAGACCGTCTGGAACACGTACGGGTAGGCCTCGAGCAGGGCGTAGACCAGCCCGTAGATGAATGACATGTACATCGAGATCAGCAAGATGATGGGCTCGGTGAGGAGCATCCGCAGCGGGCGCGTGAAGTTCTTCTGCAGCAGCGCGGTCAGGTCGATCTCGACTTCGTCCTGTTTGGCGTGAATGCCCCAGTTGCGGGTTGCCCGGCGGATGGCGGCTGCTTTTTCGACCAGGAGAATGGGGGCGTATGTCTCTCTCAGGAAGGCGAAGGAGATAATGCCCAACGCAAAACCCATCAAGGCGGGGAGGTAGAGTGTCCAGCGCCAGCCGAGGGAACTGGAGGTGATGAACCCGCCAATGAATGGGGCGCAGAAGGGCCCAACGAACACTGTAAGCGCGTAGATGGTCATGGCGAATCCCCGGTGGGCATTGTTATAGATATCCGTCAGCACGCCGGGGACGACGGACAACGGGCAGGCCCCGAACGCCCCCGCGAAGAAGCGGCAGATGATGACCGTCTGAAGGTCCTTGCCCACTGCTGAGCCGATGTCGAAGATGGCTCCGCCGAAGAGTCCTAGGATCAGGGGCCACCGTCGGCCGATCAATTCCGAGGCGGGCCCCCAGATCAGAGGGCCCGATGCGAAGCCCAGAACGTAGAGGGTGGTCCCCAAGGTGGCTACCTCGGTGCTGACGCCGAAGGCTTTGCCCACTTGCTCGGTTCCTGGGGCGAACACGCCGCTGGCGAAGGATGCGACAAAGGTGCCGGCACAGGCTATGACGGAGATGTACAGCCTAGAATGGAGTGTTAGCTATTGTTTTCAATCTTCTTATTGTCCTCGGCGTCTTACTTGACGACGAAGCCCCAGTTGAAAGGATGCTTGGGGTCGTCAGGTCCGTCGAACTCAACAACGTATTCAGCTGGATCAGGGAGAGGCCGTGGGAAACGCTTCCCTGCTCCCATAGAATGGCCTAAAGGCTTTTCGTTCTTGAGAGATTCATCATTGTCACTGCCCACAGTCAGGTCGTACTGCAGGCTCTCGCTCCTGCTTTTGTGTAGTTCGCCTGTTTCGAGGTCTTCGTTGCTCATGGCGTCTGACTTGAGCAATAGGCTATGTCTAGTTGGGGATTATGTGTTCCAGTTGATTCAGACGAAAATTTTTAACCTGAAATGATCCTACACTACAGGGCATTTTGTATGGGTGACGTTCATGCTGTCGGGTATTGCGGGCCGCCCACAGGCTTCCGCCGACGGCCTGACATGCTTTGAGGGTTTCCAGCGGAGAAGCTCTAGCCACTATGATCGAACTCTTGTATATGAGTTGCGCTTCAAACAGACAAAAGCCCAGCTGGGAATTTCGCAGTCCATGAACCCTTTACCTTGAAATGATCCCGATACCTCATTATGCCAAGACTCAACAAAGCGACCGTGGCAACTATCTAAAGTCTTCAAGGGTAAGCCGCATTACCGGAAAGACATTGGCTCCTAGGTTCCGCAATAGCCGCACTAGCCACAGCCAGGTATTTGTTAAGGGTAAGATATTTCTTCCTCAATGGCTGCCAAGACGTCGTTAGGCCACGTGGACCCGATAGGGATAGGATGCGGGTTAGTCCGCAGCCGCAAAGATTGAATAGAGCAGCAATCCTGGTGCCCATGGGGTTTGCTGCCGAGTGCACATTACCCCGCTCCAGGTGGTTTCCTGCACACGAAGACTCTCGTCACGTCCCATAATCATTAATTATATCTGCTTGAATAGGATGAAGGCTTGACTCGAAGAAAGATAAGGCGGGGTGAGGTTGCTCGGGGAGCATTGTGCACCATCGAAATTCGCTCTTTCACCGCTTTTCAATCCCAGCGAAGTATGGATCCTTCATCGACTGAACAATTCTAATCATCTCGAACGAGGCGGCGTTTAGCGCCGACTGAATCAAGAGCCCTAACCTCTTCGAGACCAAACAGCACCAATCACCAGCGGGATAGAATGTTGCATCTGTTCAGCTGAATCTCTACATCGAATCGCCGTCTTCTTCTATATTGATTGCTTCGTATATCTCGGTTGCGTATTTTCGTTTGTTTGCCCGAGCTCCTCCGCCAAGCACAGCCATGCGTGTATATAAGGGCACTGGGTGGAATCTGCACCTGCATCTTCCACAAGCTAGAGGAACCCCAGGTGAACGCTCAACTGCGTCACAATAGCATCGCGTTAGGCTGTCGACTATGCCTAAGCTCATATACCACCTCGCGGCCTTCATAGCCGCGGTGACGCAGGTCGTACTCGCGCACACCAGCCTCGACTCCCAATACCGGATCGACGTGCACTCCCACCCGGTCCCACAGATCTGGCTGGATGCGCTGATCGAAGAAGGTTACCCCACCGTGAATGGCAGTCTAATCGTGGAGGGCTTCCCGGTGCCGGACTGGACGCTGACCGGCCACCTCCAGAACATGGACAGCTACGGGGTCAACTACTCGACGCTGAGCGTGACCACGCCCGGCGTGTACTTCCTGGCGTCCAAGCCCCAGAAGGCCAAACGGCTGGCCCGTGAGCTCAACAACCTGCTGCACAACTACACCCAATCCTATCCGACACGCTTGGGAGCGCTATGCCTCCTGCCTCTGCCCAACGTCGCGGACGCATTGGAGGAGATCAAGGTACCACACTTCCCCCTACCAACCCATCCCCAATACAACAACCCTAACCATCAGGGAATAGTACTGCCTCGACACCCTCCACTTCGACGGCATCGGCTTCTACACCAACTACAACGGCCTGTACCTGGGCGACGCGACCCTTGACCCCGTCTTCGCGGCCCTGAACCAGCGACGCGCCACCGTCTTCGTGCACCCCGCGACGCCCGGCTGCGCCGACGCGACCCTCGGCTACGGCGGCCCCCTGACGGAGTACCCCTTCGACAGCGTGCGCGCGATGGAGAACATGCTGCTAACCGGCCAGCGCGCGCGTTACCCCAACGTCACGATGATCTACCCGCACGGCGGCGGCGCCATGCCCTACCTTGCCGGTCGCATCGCGGGCGTCGCCAGTCTCCCTGCGCTGGGGGCGCTGAACCCGGCGACCGTGGTCGCTCAGCTGAAGGGGTATTACTTCGACACGGCGTCGGCGTATTCGGCGATCCAGCTGCAGGCTTTGAAGGCGTTCATTGGGGTGGGACGGATTGTGACGGGGACGGATTGTAAGCCATCTCTAATTTTCTTTTTCTTTTTTCCTCTTCCACTTTTTGTTCTTGAGGATGTATTGTACCGTGGTGAACGAATGCTGATTGCTGATGGTGGTGTTAGTTCCGTACGTGCCGGTTAGTCAGGCGAAACCGGGGCTCGCGTCGATCCAGGCGAATGGCAATTTCACCGAGGCGGAAATGGCGCAGATCAACCATCAGAATGCGTTGGCCATATTCCCTCGCATTGCGGCCAAGCTTGGACTGCGAAAATCAGGATGAGGATTGGTGAGATGAGAGTACAGTGGAAAGGGTGGCACGTGATTTGGGAGGGTGAGAGCCAATGGAATGCAATGAGAAAAGAATTGAAACGTTGAACACAGAAATAAGATGTTGAGTTCTCCGCACCTTCGCATGGCCGAGGCCCTGCGGGTCCCTTCCGGTCCTTGGTCTGATTAGTGAACATGTGATTTGGGAGGGCATCAGCCCATGTGACTAAGCAGCCCTGGCCCCAACAGATCCCTCCATGTCAACATAGACTCAGAGCACAACATCGGTCCACAAGCACGCCTGGTCAACCATGTTCGAGCTGTGTCGATCGTGATGCAGAAATCCTATGGGTTGAGATCGAGTCAGTGATATGGCTGACTTGAGCTGTTGGGAACGCTGCAGCGAATGAGATGGTACCTTTTCATCTGATCCGACATCGAACCACATCCGCATCATGTCACTGGCCCAACAGTCCCGGGGGGCGAGTCGGTCGCCTTTGTGTCAATATCGTCCACTATAGAAGAGATAAGACCCCTGGTTTAGAACAGACTACGTCAGAATTTCATGCCTACAGTTGAATAACATTGATCCATCTCTTTTCCACCTTGAGGCCAACCCAACCGGGCATCCCTCCTGATCAGGTAGTACACACACAACCCCAATCAGGCCACCATGCCTACCAAACCCTCCAACACATCCTCTGTACGGACAGGGGACATGCCGAAGAAGGTGCACATAGCCGACACCCCCATCACCCTGCGCAACTGGCACCAACACATTGACTGGCTCAATGTCATCATGATCATCGGCATTCCGCTCTACGGCTGCATCCAAGCCTTCTGGGTTCCCCTGCAACTCAAGACCGCCATCTGGGCCATCGCCTACTATTTCTTCACCGGCCTAGGCATCACCGCCGGTACGTGCTCTCAGCCTCAGCCCACAACCATCAACCCCAGAACTCTACCCTAACCCCACCCCATGCTTCACAGGCTACCACCGCCTCTGGTCCCACAGCTCCTACTCCGCAGCCCTGCCGCTCCGCATCTGGCTCGCCGCCGCCGGGGGCGGAGCCGTCGAGGGCTCCGCGCGATGGTGGTCCCGGCTGCACCGGGCGCACCACCGGTACACCGACACCGACCAAGACCCGTACTCGGTGAACAAGGGCCTGTTTTACTCGCACTTCGGGTGGATGATCTTGAAACAAAACCCGAAGCGGATCGGACGAACGGACATTTCCGATCTGAACGAGGACCCCGTGGTGGTATGGCAGCACCGACACTACCTCCTCGTGGTGGCGGTGATGGGCATGGGGGTGCCGATGCTGGGCGCGGGCCTCTGGGGCGACTGGTGGGGCGGGTTCATCTACGCGGGGATCCTGCGCATCTTCTTCGTGCAGCAGGCGACCTTTTGCATCAACTCGCTGGCCCACTGGCTGGGCGAGCAGCCCTTTGACGACCGCAACTCCCCGCGTGACCATGCCATCACCGCCCTCGCGACCCTGGGTGAGGGTTACCATAACTTCCATCACGAGTTTCCCTCGGATTATCGCAATGCGATCCAGTGGTATCAGTATGACCCGACGAAGTGGATGATCTGGCTGTGGAAGCAGATGGGGCTGGCGTATGATTTGAAGGTGTTCCGTGCGAATGAGATCGAGAAGGGAAGGGTGCAGCAGATGCAGAAGAAGGTCGATCAGCGGCGCGCGAGGTTGGACTGGGGTACGCCTATCGCCGATTTGCCTGTGTTGGAGTGGGAGGAGTATGTGGAGTTGGCGAAGGATCGGGCCCTGGTTGCGGTGGCCGGGGTGGTGCATGATGTGAGCCAGTTTGTGGAGGAGCATCCCGGTGGACGGGCAATGATCAAGGCTGGGATTGGAAAGGATGCGACGGCTATGTTCAATGGAGGCGTGTATTATCATTCAAATGCAGCGCATAATCTTCTGTCGATGATGCGCGTCGGGGTGATTCGTGGTGGGAGTGAGGTGGAGATATTGAAGCAGTCGCGGAAGGGGGAGTAGAGGTTGGTTAGATAGATAGATGAATTGATTTGTTCTCTCTTGTTCAGAATAGTAATCTGTGTGATGGGCGTGACGTGCTGTAGAGCTGTAGGTCGAGTCGCCTCGGGTGCTTCAGTTTGGACTCTGCATGCAGATACTAATTGATAGGGGCCTAGTGTGAAGGTGTCTTGAACACTCTTTGTCTGTATACTACATTCTGATGTCTCATCTTAGTATAAGTAGGTTTCACTTCACCCATAGAAGCGCACAATCCATCATACAATTTTGATTTCCTGGTCATCACTTAGTGACAGGGGTTCAACCTTTTACTTCTGAGATGAAAGTGAGATGAAACTCAGGCTTGCATCACACTCGAAAAGACTTTATGCAGGTTAACCCAAGAAGTAGAGTTTGAGATCCAGGACACTATCATGAATTGACCTGCTCACTACATTGACCTGCAGTTATTCATACTGTGTCAATCACAAACTCCATAAAATCATCAATGCTACTGCAACTTCCTGTTGAGAGCATCATATCACAGCAGTCAAATAGTGCCCTAAGGACTCTTTCTACTTCACGCAGCGCGTCTATACTACTCTGAGAGACCTCAATCCAAGAACTCAAATCTCTTCCCTCTTTATCTTCAGCCTAGACCCTGGCTCTGCTTTGATCCTCGTTCAGCATCGACCTGGCGACCGTCTACATTCCCCCGAATTACATATTTCTCTCAATCACCATCGATCACACCACACAACTATGAGGACTGTTAAGCACAAGCATCCGACCTTCAGACGCTTTCCCTGGCTCCCTATTGAGCTACGCCTTGAGATTTGGAAGTATGCGCTGCCGATCGTGACAGAAAAGGCTACGCTCTATCCATGGGTTGAGAAAACTGAATGGAAACGGGGAGGGAAGAGCCGGTACTGTTGGAGCAAGCCGACCCTCTACTATCCCGTTGCTCCCGGGACTCACCAGATAGCGATGCCCCTGCTCTACGTCAACCACGAGTCCCATTCTGTCGCGCTTGACTGGCTTAACAATCATCGTCCGTTGCGCAAGCGCTTTAACCACAAGGGGACTTTCCTCTTAACTCGCCCCTTCTTTGCGGAAGATGATACACTCTACCTTGGCCTTGATCCTGCTGCGCCGGACTACGAAGACCATCTTCGTTCCCGTCCAGACTTCGAACAACTTGCCGTATCCGAAGACTTTTTTCTGGCTGACCCTAGCAGGCTGTGCCATCTTGTACGTTGTCTCAGTAGGTGCCGGTCGTTTTCCATTGTCATCGACAACGGCCCCGCCCCGTACAGCAGCAATCTGCCGAGGAAGGAGAAAATGGTAGAACGGTGGGAGATCGACGGTCCGCGAGAGACGATGCTGGAATGGAAGGCCAGCCATGGTGAGACTCTGCCATGGAACCCCAATGGCATTACTAGTGCGGCTCTTCATACGCTTGTGATCCTTACGTACCCTCTTCTGTCCCGGGTTGTTGCAGAGTCTTGGTATCCCAGGACCTTCACAATCGACGCTGTCCGTGCTGTCAAGAGATAAGCGGCTCCGCTTCTCTATTTAAGCCTTCGATGCAAGAGACTGCACCTTACTCGGTTGTTCACTGCGTTTTGTTGCTTTGCGAGATTCCTGCGACTAGGATGAAGTGGTGGTTAGCGATATGAGAATGAGGACAGCCTTAGCGTTTCTTGGACCCATTTTTATCTGGTTTGTTTTGGGGATCATTCTAGCCGGAAGATAGCTATCACAGGAAACAAATACTATTGCTTTCTCGCAGCGTATTGAGCTGGTAAAGAGCCTTAAGTATCTGGCCTCGAAACACTCCAACCTCCATTGAGCGTCGCAGTAGTAGAGATGGCGCGCATTACAGGCGGGATGGATGCACCTTCGTGCCTGGGGCATCGATTGATCGCCCTGCATCATGAGCTTGGCAACGCTCCTTGCCGCGCCCCTCGGCCCATTCCATTCCCACATATGATTAAGCTCCTTGTGCCACGCTGCATGGTCATTCTTCTGTACATGCCCTGAGACTGATGAAAACACTCAACCATGACAAACACTGAGATAAGGATTGGTAATGCTTCGATGTTCTTCCATGAAAAATACCGAGGTCGCCATTATCACTCACACCCACGCCTAGACAGAGATAGCCGATAACAGAACTTTATTATGCCATCGCGTCACTAATAAATCATGCAACCTGCGCACGGTGCGCAGAAGTAACGGTAGGCTGGACTGACCTCATCGCGAACTGATATCATCGCTGGGGCTCCGTCGCCTGCCGAAATTACCGCATCCGGCAATTTTCGGTGGATCCCGGTGACATCATGTTCATCCTCAACTTTTTATATAGCCCGGACCGAAGAGCAAGTGTTGTGGTGAGATTCTTGCAAGGTCCTTACACTATCTCTATAGAGACTACTCTCATTACCAACCTATACATCAATCGCAACCATGGGATACGATTTCACCATCTACAAAGGATCCAAGGACGGATCCATCAAGCAAGCCACCTCCCACCGCGATGACCTGAAGAAAGACCAAGTGCTGGTGCGGGTCACCCACTCCGGAGTGTGCGGGACGGATCTGCACTACCAGACGACGGACATGGCGCTGGGCCACGAGGGCGCCGGCGTGGTCGAGGAGGTGGGCCCCGAGGTGCAGGACCTGAAGAAGGGGGACCGGGTGGGCTGGGGGTACGAGCACGACTGCTGCGGCCGATGCTCCAACTGCCTGACGGGCTGGGAGACGATGTGCCCGGAGCGGGCGATGTACGCGGGGGCGGATCTGGACCAGGGCTCGTTCGCTACCCACGCCGTCTGGCGCGAGGCCTTCCTGTTCAAGATCCCCGACGGGCTCAGCAACGAGGACTCGGCCCCGCTCATGTGCGGCGGGTCGACCGTCTTCAACGCTCTGGTCGTTGCGGGCGTGAAGTCGACCTCCCGCGTGGGAATCGTCGGCATCGGCGGGCTCGGCCACCTGGCCATCCAGTTCGCCGCCAAGATGGGCTGCGACGTCGTCGTCTTTTCCGGCAGTGACAGCAAGAAGGAGGAGGCGCTCAAGCTGGGCGCGAGGGAATTCCACGCGACCAAGGGCGCCAAGGAGCTGAAGATCGGCAAGCCTCTCAACCACCTGATCGTCTCTACCAGCAGCCAGCCCGACTGGAATCTCTATACCTCCGTCCTGGCCCCCGGCGCCGTCATCTCGCCGCTCTCCGTCGACAGCGCCGAGTTCAAGTTCCCCTACATGACCCTCCTCAGCAGTGGCCTGCGCGTGCAGGGCGGCATCGTCTCCGCGAGACAGGTCCACCGCGACATGCTGGCCTTTGCTGCCCTGCACGGCATCAAGCCCATCAAGATGACCTTCCCGTTGACGCAGGAGGGTGTGCAGGAGGCATTGAAGACGTTGGATGAGGGCAAGATGAGATACAGGGGTGTTCTTGTTGCGCAATAGAGCGTTTGATTGGGTATGAGCGTGGGGGAGCTAGAAAGACGAGAAACAAGTGATTGGATGTATAGTATAATTTGCGGATAATGATGATGATGATGATGACTCTATTTGATGGGATCTTAACGAGACCTTGACAGCGACATGCAACAAATGGGGTGGGGGTGGGGGGCTTTTTGCGGAGGTGTAGTATGATAGAAATATACTGAGTTGATGGTTGTGGGCTGGAATGGTCTTGCTTTATATACTGGTTGATGATGAGAAACTGCCTGTCTATGTCTGATCCTAATGTTCAAGTCCGAAATCTATCGGGATTGCGATCTGCACTATGCGGATTCGGTTTAGTGACTATCAGCAAATATGTTCGTCTGGCTTACATGCAGGGCAGTCTTTCGCACACTGAAGCTGATACTAGCATATAAGCACAACACTGATCCTAGGTATTTACTGGACCATCTTCGAGACCACCCAAACCGAGCTCAGTCCCGGTCAATCTCTACCACCGGCCCCGTATACTCCTTCCCACCCCAGAGCACGTAATATCCCGTGCTGAGCAGACTCGTCCCCGCCGTCCCCACGACCGCCCAATTCATCGTACTTGCCGTGGGGCTGGCCACTGTCGGCCAGAAACTGAAGAACACGCCCACAGTCAGATACGCGATCGTGAAAGCATTCACCAGGATGCCCAGCACGCCGGGGATGTGGAACGGACCCCACGCGAGCGGGGCCCCCGCGGTGTTGACCAGCATTGAGTCCACGGCCGTGACGGCGGGGTCGCGGATGCCGCCCGTGCACCGCTTCCAGATCAGCAGCGTGGCGGAGATGAGGTACGAGGTGTACAGGGCGCTGACACAAAGGGAGACGACGTCGTTGAGGACCGCGGCAGACCCCAGGATAATGAGGGCGAGCAGCACTGCGGCGACGGTGACGACGAGGATGGACCATTGCGGGACGGCTTGCGCGTTCACCTAGAACTTGAGGTTAGCACATAACGGACTTGCAACGGGACAAGGGTGGTGGCTGAGAGCATACTCGACTAAGGATACGCCAGCCAGGAAGACCGCGATCCCGAGCGAAAGACCAGACCATGCGCGAGGAGGAGGCCAGCGAGCCGACAGCGGTGGCCGTGACCAGAACCGGCACGATGGCACTCATCACCGTACAACCACCAACGGAACTCGTGGCCGAGCAGAACACCTGCATATAGGGGTATCCGGTGGGCGATTCCAGTGCGGTGGTAACGTCGGTCATGGTGAACAAGGTGCTAAGGACCATGCCGAAGCCCAGCAGGCCGTTGATCACAACGGAGGTGAGGATGGACTGCGGCACGACTCGCTCCGCGTTGTGGATCTCTTCACTCATCTAAAGCAGAAACCAAGTCAGATTGGGACGGACCTGAGGGGGTGACCGTAGGCTTACATGAACAGCAGCATCCGCCCCCGTGAAGGAGAACATAGCCCCCGTCATCCCCACCATGAACGCCAGTCCTTCGCTCTGAAAGCCCCCGTCGTTTCGAAACTGTCCGAACACCTCGGCCGCATCGTTGTGACTGCCCAGATAGAGAAGTGGGATGATGATGGCGAAAAAGCCCACGATGTGCAGGATCAGCACGAATCCCTCAAACTTGGGAAGCCAGGTGCTGGCGACCGCGTTGACGAACACTGCAAACGCCAGAATGGCCCAGAAGAGCAGTACCGTCTGCCATGCTGTCGGGACATAGGTGCTGTGGTTCAGAACCACCAGCCCCTGAATCTGGGAGGCGCTCAGGTAGCAAGTCGATGTAAATGCTCCCAACCAGCCGATCACGATCAACCAGCCTGCAGGGCAAGTCAGTCAACCGGTTCTGAGGAGGAACTCGAGAGGCACAGAAAAGGCCGAGAGAACATACCTGTGAGAAAGCTAAGGTACTTCTGACATGACGCCGGAGCCATCATCGAAACCCAGTGATACTGGCCCCCTGAGGTTGGGGCCCTATGCAAGATGCATGTCAGATTCTGTTGGGCAGGAATGGACAGGAGGACCTACATGGAGACCAACTCCGACAGCGTGAGGAAGGTCGAAAAAGTGCCCAACCAGACAACCAAAAAGCTATACACGGTTCCGGCCGGGCCTCCACTGTCCGATCGACTTTCGTTAGGTGCCAACCAGGCAAGATATTGTCAAGGTGCGCCACATACTCTTCAAATGAAATGACAAAGGTTGACAAGATACCTTCCCAAGAGGCCAAGATAGTACAGGAAAATCCTAGGATGGACAGAAACCCGAAGCGACGCTTGAGAATCTGCTTCTTGCCCACACGCCCGAGCCCCTGGTCATCCTGGACCTGGGTATGACTGGTACTTGCGGCTTTGTTGTCGACGTGCCGATCGCGGAGAGGGATTGGGTCCTCCATGCTGACTATCGAGAAGCTTCAGCTGCCAAGATCCCACGCAGTAAGGAGGCAGGCGTGGGAGAAGACAAAAGAGCGAAGAAACAATCAAAATGGAAGAGACAAAACGGGATTGTATAATTTTTCCTCGCTATCTTCTCGCCCGCGCTTTTGTCTCATGGCGCACAAGGACGCTTCGTCGTCGTCTATCATTCCTAAAAGAGGGGCGCCAGCCCTGACTAGTGACATGAATGGCCCCCTGCTGCCCTCCTTACGCCGCACAAGAGTTTGATTGATGAGAACGGGTGGGTGAAACAGATCAAATGGCCGTCTTCATTTATTCAGCGCCAGCACCCCACCAGCAGGGGATATAAATTGATGCGTGACTAAATCCCTCAGTTCCCGCGCGTTCGCTCCAGTCGATCGACGGCGATGGGCTGACAAGCACCGCGCTTTCAGACTAAGCATATTCATTAGCCTCGGAGCTATTTTCCACTAGCAGGGGAACTAAATGAATTAAGAGTGGAGATCCACCTTGGGCCGACGCGCAGTCGCTTGTTACCCACCAAGCTAAATCCCCCGGCCCCAGCTATGCCCATCATGTCTCACCAATTTTCCTTATTCTGATAAGCTCAACCAAGCTACTCTCAAAGATTGAAACCATGGTGGCCCTTCCCCTCCCCGCCGATGTTACTTACACTACCGCACCGGTTGACTGCAATTTGACCCTCCATCGGTGGTGGTGGACTCGGTGGCAGCGGTAGGATCGTAATGCTCTTCCACGGCCCAGGTCATCGTCTGGCGGATGATATGACTCTGGCTGGTCTGGCTATGCCCGTCATCCCACTCTCGCTCCCGCTGCACCGCAAGAATCGTCGTGTCGTGAGCCGACCCGTGCAGTTGGTTCAGCTCATGCGCCGTGACGCTCCGTTTCTTCTTCCCCGATCCATACCCATATTGTTCGTGCGTCGAACTCTGGCCCGGTAGGTGGTAGAGTCGTAGTCCGGTGGACTGGAGTCCATCCATAAATGGCTTGAGGTGGGGGATGCAAGAGACGAGGATGGCCAGACACTGGACCAGCTCCATGCAGACGGTGACCTTCCATATTTCGAGCAAGGGCTCATCCGAATCTTGTCGAATGCTGCCTCGATACACCAGCTCCATCCCGATGGCGATGACTACCCTGAGCCCGCCGTCAAGGTTTGAGTCAGCTGATAATCCTGTTCAACACCTCGAAACGGGGCCACTTACAAGATGCGAGTAGCAAAACACCCGATCACCACCGCTTTCTTCGTGTCGGCCATCTGAATCTTGGAGACGACCAGAATTGGGAAGACCATCAAAGCGCATTCTGTGAGGATGTTGGTGATTCCGAAATAATACCACCATGCCGCCTGCTCGCGTGGTTAGTCGAGTTCTGCATCGCGCCGAAATGCGGTTCGTTGGCATCCTACACGGTTGAAGCATGTCTGGGTGAGCCAGTTCCACGGCTGGGGCAGGCCACACTGGAACGCGACCGCAAACTCGCAAGTGACAGCCCATGCTACGATGAAGGCAATTAGACCCCATTCCACTTTGCGGGTTCGTTGCATTAGGAATGTCATGAATGCCAGAGAGCTGAGCTTAGCGAAAGTGATGCAGGGGATGTAGAGCAATTCCGCGGCGTAGATTGACTATATCCCGGGCCATGTTAGTTTATCAATAGATGCATTCAAGAGACTTTCGACATACCTTCAAAGCTATTGCTTGCTGATGTTGCGAAGAGCCTCTTTGCTCCTGACCATACCCATTACCGGCTGCATTTGCGACACATGCGGCCTGCAGCACCGAGAAGACCTACACAGTGGATTGGCACCGTCAGAACGTGTAGTCCGCTTGGTCTGCTCTTCCGCATCACACCTACCAGAGCCACAGTGATCAGGTAGTCGTCCATCGTCAGCTTCCGGACGATGACATATTTGATCAGAAGCCGTGTCCCTCCGGAGAGCACGGCGATGACCATGAAGAACCATGCGAGGATTCCGATGACGGGAGCGCGATTGGTGTCCGTAACCACTGTCATGGCTGCAGCAGACAGTGTGCGTGAGCGTCAGCGTCAGCGTCAGCATCACATAACGTTAGCATGCACAGCTTGGCCATCCAGGCTCTCCTTCATAAACCGGTCACACGGTCATCACCTCCAGGAGGAAGTACAAACGAGGCGGAAAAAGTAGATTACAATGCAATGAGTGTCTCACACGGTGGTGGATCAGGATCAGGACGTGGCCCGCGCAATCTATTAGCGTTCGGCCGGTTGGCGCAGATCCGTACCTTTGCGTGGCCCCATCTCTCTGCAGCTTTAATTTAGTGTGTCACTCCACGCAGGTCAGCTTTCTACTGGATGGGAAAATCTCGGCGAATATAATCCTTGTCGCTCCAAGACGGGCTGGCTGAGATAATTAAATTAGGCTTTGTGCAACGGTTCCCCTCGCTCTTAACCTTCGTTCGATCCGGCCGTTGGATTTCGGCGCTATTCCCTAACCCTTTACTGACTGCAACCCTAACATATTCTCACAAACAGCCCCTCGAACACTTCTGACATCATGGGAGCTAACGTTACCACGCATGAGGGGACAGCCCCGTTTCACTATGAGCACCTCCCCAAGCCCGCGCAGACCTGGTATCGAGTGTACGGCGATCTTACGGTCGGCACGCCCCTCGTGGTGCTGCACGGGGGCCCGGGGTTCTGCCACAATTACATGCTCCCCCTGGCCGATCTCGCCCGTCCCCAGAGGGCGGTGGTCCTGTACGATCAGATCGGAAACGGGCAGTCGACGCACTTCCCGGAGAAAGTTGGCGATCCGGCCTTCTGGACGGTCGAGCTGTTTGTCGCGGAGCTGGCCAACCTGCTGGCCCACTTGGGCTTGGGCCTCGCGGCCGGCCGCCTCTTCGATCTCCTTGGCCACTCGTGGGGGGGCATGCTGGGCGCCGAGTTCGCCATCCGGCGGCCGGTGGCGGGCCTGCGGCGTCTGGTGCTCTCCAACGCCCCGGCCTCGGTCTCTCTGTGGCTGGAGTCCGTAAACCGGCTCCGCGCAACCCTGTCCCGTGAGGTCCAGGCGACGCTGCAGCGCTGCGAGGACGAGGGCCGCCTCGACTCGAAGGAGTACGAGGACGCCACCATGGTCTTCCTGTCGCAGTTCTCCTGTCGGGTGGACCCCTGGCCGCAGGAGTTTGTGGACAGTATCGTGTGGGCGACCGAGACGGATTCCACCGTCGCGTCTACCATGTGAGTCGTCGTGCTTCCCGTCTTTAGTCTAGTTCTATATCTTTAACCTTCCGCGATAGGCTGGGCCCGTCCGAGTTCTGGATCGAGGGCAGCTTGAAGGATTGGAGCGTGCTGGATCGTCTGCAGGCGATTCAGGTGCCCACGCTGCTGATCAACGGGAAATATGACGAGGCGCAGGATAGCACCGTGGCGCCGTTTTTCTGGGCTATCGACAAGGTGAAATGGGTGACGCTGGCGGAGAGCGCCCACTGTCCGCAGTTTGATGAGCCGGAGAAATACCTGCAAGTCATCCGGGACTTTCTGGGAGCTCGGGAGAATTAGGGTTGCTTAACTATCATGCTAGCCACAGATAGCTGAGACAAGCATGTCACGCCACTTGAGGCTCGAGAAATTCATCCGTATCCATTCGATCATCGGCCGCAATTCTCCTTTCGTAGAATTTTCCGTCCGAAAGCACAGGATCCTTCAGATCCTCACCAAGCAGAATCAATCATGTATTACATAATCATGCTAGTGCTGACGGATTCCCGTTGGTGGTTCATGGGGACGATAATACCCAACCGCAGAGCATTCGTCTCCCGGACCATGAAGTTTCTTTGGGAACAAATAGCCCGGAATGCATGCTAACGCCAGGGCTATACTGCCGGCACCTGCAGGGGCCGATCCCTGCAGTAAAGCAGCCCCGTCAAGCCCCACCACCATGTCATACACCTGCCGCACCTGCGTCAGACGCAAGGTAAAATGCGACAGGCTGACGCCTCGTTGCTCCAGCTGCCGCAGGGGCAACCACGAGTGCTCATACCAAGTGCCGTTCCCTCCGACGCGGAAGCGCAAGGCGAGTGAGGACCTCGCAGACAGAGTGGCGCGATATGAGCGTATTCTGCGGCAGCACGGCTTGCTGGACGCAGACACACAGACGAGGGTGAGTGGCATCTCGCCAGACCCGATTTCGTTTCACTATACCGAGCCCGCAGCCTCGACGACTGGTAGGGTGCTTGCCGCAAAGGGCACGTCGAGATATGTCAGCGGGCATCCGTGGAACAATTTCGGCGAAGAGGAGGTGCGACGCGTTTTCGAAGAGGAAGAGCAGGAGCAGCGGGAGATGACCATTACATCCGAGCGCTTGGTGTCTGATCCGTTGACCGATGCGCTCATGGGCTCTCGGCGTTCGCTTCTGCAGTACCACCCGACTCACACAGAGGCCCTGCTGCTGTGGCACATGCATGTCGAAAGCGTCGAACCGTTCTGCAAGATCCTCCACATTCCCTCCACCTCTGCGATGATCGAAAGGGTTTCGCATCATCCCGAGCTAGCGTCAGATGCAGATGAATGCCTTGTGTTCGCCATCTATCAGTTTGCAGTCTACGCGATGACAGACGAGGACTGCGAACAAAAGCTGGGCCAGCCACGCAGTACCTTAAGCCGACGATATCATTCCGCCGCGCAACAAGCGCTGGTCAATGCCGCATTTCTTAAAACGAGTGACATCCAGGTCCTACAGGCTTTAGTCCTATTCCTCCTCTCCAGTCGCCAATATTACGACTCGCAGACGTACTGGATCCTGACGGGTGTCGCCGTCCGGATCGGACAGCGGATCGGTCTCCACCAAGACGGAGAGAAGCTGGGAATGTCCCCGTTCGATGTTCAGATGCGGCGACGGCTGTTCTACCAACTCATACCCCTCGACGGCAGAGCGAGTCAAATGGCGGGCACCGTCGTGTTCATCCCGCCCGACGCGTGGGACACCCAGCTCCCGCGCAACATCAACGATGAGCAGATCTGGCCCGGCATGACGGAGGCCCCGCGGGAGCAACAAGGCGCGACGCAGATGATATTTTGTCTGTCGCGCGCCTGCGTCGGGCGATTCTTCGCGAGCATGAGTCCGCACTTGAGCAGCACTGGGCCGTGGAAGTTCGACAGCCTGCCCGAGGCCGAGTCGGTCATCGGTGCCGCTGAACGCGAGGTTGAGGATAAGTATATCCGCTACTGCGATATCGTGGACCCGCTGCATTTTCTGACGGTCGGGTTGGCGCGCGCGGGCATCACCGCCATGCGACTGCGTGTCAGGCTCACGAGGGTCCGGAATCAGACTGCTACGGAGGCGGAGATGCGGGAGGTCTTTCATCTCGCCCAGAAGATCTTGGATACGGATGCGGCAGTGTCGGCCCACTCGGGCTTGGAGCGATACCGGTGGCATGTCCGGCCGTTCTTTCTTTGGGGCACCTTCGATTCGTTCATCTCCGTCTTGACGACCCTGTGGACGCGAGCCAGCGTTCTCTCTCCGGTGGAGGTTGAAGGGGCGTGGAAGAAGGTTGAGCAGGTTTACTGTAATCATGATGAGCTTCTGGGTACGAAGCCGTTGTATGTGGCACTGCGGAGACTCACGCTCAAAGCTTGGGATGCTCATGCGCCAAGTGGGACCGGAACAGAGCCGGGTTTCATTGCGACTGCGCGTTCGTTACGAATGGCGAAGAGCAAGGCTATGGAGGGGACTCCAGCAGCAATACGAAATGCAAAAGATGACAGGGACGATCCGGCGATTTCGAGGGCGCCGTCTGCGACTGACTTGGATGCGATGCTTGGTCCGGTGGCTGAGAGTATAGATGGAGAGATGGGCGATGGTATCAACTTCGATGCCGTAGACTGGGCTTTCTGGGATCAGTTGATCCAATACCACCAAGGATACGAGGATGGATAGGATGATGGATCCATGAAGACCTTGCTACAATGAGAAGATTTATCATGGGAAAATGATATCAGACACGGAGTCGGAATCTCGTCCATCCCGGTTCCGCAGCAAGGCTGGAAACGGACCTTCAAAGCTGCCCCAATCCCGGTCCAATCCGATCGTTCATTGGTCAAATTCTCGGCTCATCCGCGGCCGAGCATCCAGCCAATCAGGAAACCCTCCACCAGCGGCCATTTAGTATAAAAAACCCCTTCATGGCCATCACTGTTCAATCACAGCAAACAACATCGACATTCAATCGAATCCAAGAATCATGCCGCAGCTCAGAGTCCTCATCGTGGGCGCGTCGATCGCCGGCCCAACTGCCGCCTACTGGTTCGCCCGAGCCGGAGCCAAGGTCACCGTTATCGAGCGCTTCCCCCAACTCCGCACCAACGGCCAGAATATCGACATCCGGACCGTTGGCGTGACGGTAATGCGACGAATGCCCGGGATGGAGGAGGCCGTGCGAGCCAAGACGATTCCGCTGAAGGGAATTGGCTTCGTCCGCTCTGATGGCTGCCCGTACGGAATCATATCCACGACCGGAGATCCCGACCAACAGTCCCTTGTCTCCGAGTATGAGATCTACCGAGGGGACATGTCCCGGCTCCTGTACGACCGGACCGTAACGAATCCAAACATCACTTATATCTTTGGCGAGCAGGTCGTCTCGATCCAGGAGCCCAACGAGAAGAATGGCGAGGACAGCCCCGTGACGGTCGAGTTCGCCAACGGCACCCCTGCTGCGGAGTTTGATCTCGTCGTGGCCTGCGACGGGGCAACTTCGCGGACCCGCGCGATAGGGTTTGGGGTCGGCGTGCGCGATCACCTCGTCCCGACCGGCAGCTGGGCGGCTTACTTCTCCATCAAGCACGATCTCCTCGAAGGGGCAGATAACATCGGGAAGGCGTACAATGCCATAGGCGGCCGCTTCATCGCCGCTGCGCCTGACCCCTGGGGCGTGAATCGGGTGGTCATGATCAAGCACCAGCCGCCAACTCACGGTAGCGATGCTACAAGGCCGTTCCGGGAGGCGATGCAACACGGCGAGAATGCACTCAAGAACTTCGTCGCGCAGACTTACCGTGGCGCCGGCTGGAAGTGCGACGAGGTGATCCAGGACATGATGGAGGCGGAGGACTTCTACGCCAGCGAGATCGTGCATGTCAAGCTGCCCCACCTGTCGAGGGGCCGGTTTGTGCTGGTCGGGGATGCAGGGTACGCCGCTTCGACGGGCACCGGGACAAGTCTTGCCATGGCGGGGGCCTATGTACTGGCCGGGGAGGTTTGCAAGCACAAGGGCGATCTCGCGGGTGCCCTCCGCAGGTATGAGGATGTCATGCGGCCTCTGATCGGTGACATGCAGAAGGTCCCCCGATTTCTTCCCAGCATCTTTACACCGCAGACAGCCTGGGGCCTGTGGTTCCGCAATATGGTCTTTGCGTTTCTGTGTTGGAGTGGGATTCTGGAGCTCACCCAGAAGTTCTTTGCGGGATCGTTTGCCAATACGGACAAATATCAGTTGCCGGAGTATCAATGGGAGGAGTAGGCGCAGGCGCAGTTGCGGGGTCTGGTTTGTGTTATGGCTGTGTGTCATCTATAGACTATATTTTCAACTCATTTAAGGATTTCTCACTGATTGCAGCCCGCAACGGGGACGAAGAATAGTCGACGGGTTTCCTATAAAGCGCACCGTGACAAACAGCTAAGCTCACATGATTTAATTCACTTCGAAAAACATGGCAGGGGGGATGACTGCCGCAACAGAGATAACACAGCTTTGCAACATATGACCGTGCATCAACTCAACCCCAATCTCCCACCTCACACCCAAACAGTTTCCCAGGCGCAACCCTCCCTACAAAACAGCCCCAACTCTATCCGGCCAACAATCCGCGACCTCCCCGCCCTCCAGCACCGAAACAACCACCGACCCTTCCCCGCGCAACGGATTGCCCTCCCAAACCACAAAGTCCCCGACATGCGCCTCCTCCGCACTGCCCGCGCGACGCAGCCCCAGAATCTCCTCCAGATTCGTCGACACCAGCGCGATCGCCTCGCGGTCCGTCAACCCCGCCTGCTTCCCGGCCGCCTGCGCGTGCTGGGCCAGCGCGTGGACCCCCGAATCGCCGACAAGGGCCAGACCGAGCTGTACGCCGGCGTCGAGGAGCGTCTTCGCGGCACTCTCGGTCAGCGGGGGCCCCACGGGGATATCCTTCTTCTCCCAGCGGTCCGGGGCGCCGCGGTTGCCGGTCAGGATGACGGGGATGGCGGCTTCGGCGAGGTGGTGGGCGACCTGTACTTTGGTTAGGGTGGGTTGTTTATGCGGGACACGATGAGATTGAGTATAAGTAGGGAGGGAGGGAGAGGGTCTTACCAGAGGGGCACCGTGGCCGCCGTAGAGGACCAGCTTGATGTGTGGGAAGTCTTTTTTGATGCGGACGAGTTGGGCGATGTCGTCCTGGTCCCGGTTAGCTTGACCATTTTCAGTCGTTCTAAGGGTCATACGTGAAAGACATACCTGATGGAAAGCATGCACAACCACCGGAAGAGACCCGTTCGCCGCGTGCGCGTAAACCCCCGAGCTCTCGGTGCCTCCCTGCTCCAACACCTGCCGCAGCCGTTCGATCCCCGACAAGACGGTGGGGGTATTGTCGTCTACCAGGATACGCGTAAGCTACTCTATGATTTTGGACCACGGGAGCGTGTTTCGGGGAGGAACTCACTTCTCGCCGACTGTCCCACCGTGAAATGCAGCGCCACGTCATCCTTCCAGATCCCTCCGTCCAGGATCGTCGCCCGCTCGTGGGTGCGGACCCCCACGCTGACCCCCTGCACGATGCCCGCGCTCAGCGGCGGGGTCACGGCCTTGGTCACGCCGCCGATCTGCGCCCGGCCGAAGGCGCGGCCGTGCAGGTGGACCCCGTACTTGGCGAAATGCACGCTCTTCTGCTCGTTCAGCGGGTCAGCCGCGCCCTTGACGTCCTTGCCGGTGCCGGTGGACGGCTCCGAGGCGATGTCCTCGATGCCCAGCTTGTTGCCGAAGGCCACGAGGCCCGGCGTGATGTATCCGTTCTTCAGGTCGATCTGCGTGAGGGCTTTGCGGGTGGTCTGCGCGAGACAGGTTGACTTGGTATCGAGGCAGGCGATCTGGTTCTTTGTGAGCAAGAGAACCGTGTCCTGGGCTGTCTCTGTGGGGACCTGGGTTATGGTTGAGTTGAGGAGGACGTGCTGGATGCCGGTGATGAGGATATTCGTGTCGGATGATTTGTCGCGCACGGGTGCGCATACGCGGTCCCGCTCCGCTGTGGTGACGGAGGGTCGGACGGCTGGTGCGGCTTGTCCCACGATATCTTCATCTTGGACTGATGGTAAGGCAGGCGATTCCAGCACGGCGCGACCGTCGATGAACACCTCGATCGGAGTGGCGCCTACTTGCAGCGGATGGTCATCCCAGATGACGATATCGGCGTCATAGCCAGGGCGCGCGTAGCCGATCCGGTGGTCCTGTTGGATGGAGCGAGCCGGGATCGAGGTTACTGATTGCAGGGCCTTTTCTTCGGGTAGGCCGAAGGAGTATGCGACCGCTGCCTGGTCGCTATGCAGATGTTAGGCAGAGAATGTGGAGAAAGGGGCTGTGTGCCACTTACAGGAGGTACTTCGCATAATTTCCCTCTCCTGTGTGATCCTAGACACCCAGATTGATGAGCCATGGCTATTGAGAGATAGACATCGGGACTCACCGATTTCAGGGCCACGCGGAGACCGTGCTCATCCAGAATCTTAGGTCCTCGTAGATTCGACTCGTAGGCCTCGGCCTTGTACAGGCCGTTATCGGCGAACGTGGCAATGGTGATGTTTCTGCGAGCCAACTGGAATCAGCATTTCGATCCGTGACATAAAGGTTGACGGTGCTGTAACGCACTCTTCGAGATGTTTGAGGAATTCAGGCACCTGCCACGCCGACAAGGCATGATGGAACGCCCGCGGATGCACCCCAAATTCATGCAGCACGGCAAGCATGCGCTCCAGATCATCGGGGGTATAGCAGTGCACATTCAGATTGAGCTCTCCGCGCAACAGCGCGACCAGAGTGTCGAGCTTGAATTCTTCCGGTCGCTTGCCCTGTCTGTCGATAAAATTGGCGATCTGCTGACTCTGCCCAACCCTGCTCTCCTGTATCTGGACTGCAGCCTGGCACCACTCCGTCTGGCGGCCGTGCAGCGCTCGTGCTTTATTAAGTTCTTCCCGCAGCAGCCAGGCGAGACCGAGGCGGGTGTGGCCGTAGAACCGTCGGGGGTTCTCCCCACACGCCATCTTGAGATATCGCTGGCGCTGCGCCTCGGGGATGCCGTGGTCGAGGAGTAACTCCTCGATAACCGGCTCGCCATCTGGGCCGGATCGGGGAAGGTTCTTGACCAGATAGGCTTCGCCGCCGATAACATTTGCCGATCCCGGGGGGATCAGCGAGGAGGTCACGCCTCCGGAGGCAATGATCTTGATGGCTGGGTCGTCCGGGTTGAACCCATCCACGGCACGCACGAACGAGGTCAGCGGTCCCAGGAGCGGGCTCTCGTTGACGTCCTTGGTGGCCGGGAGCTGCGGGAAGGAGAGCAGCAAGTGATGCGAGTGCATGTCCACCAGACCGGGGGTGACGAATGAACCATGCACGTCGATGACCTGGGCGTTGGCTGGCAAAGAAGTGTGCTGCGAAGTCGGGAGCACGGAGCGGATCACCCCCGCGTCGAAGATGATATCAACCCGGTCGTTGAGGATAGATTCCCCGTCGAAAAGCGTCGCATTCTGGATGACGATGGCTTCTTTTTGGCCTGCGACGGGGTTCCAGCGGGGATTGACCCTGCTTGTTGATGCCACAGGCTCTCGGAGGCCTCGATCATACACCTCATGGCATCTCTGCAGTCCTTCGTAGAATTCCCGTTTGGTCGCTGCAGAGGTGGTGGGTGTCAGTAGGTCTGCAGGGGACCTGATGGAGACTAGCAGCAGTGTTGCGACCAAAGCAACCCCTCCAATGGATCGTCGCCAGCGTCTCAGGAATTTGCGGCGTGGTGGACGAGCTGGCTCGTGGATCACTGGACCGGGATAGCCCCGGAGACCGCTCTTGGGTGTCATACTGCGGTGCCACAGGTGGTGGAGAATTCGTCCCTTGATTGCGGTGGGAGTGTAGGGCGGGCAATAGTTATAGGACTGCCCGCACCGCTGGCGTGACTGTGGGTCGAAAGTGCGTTATCAGTCGGTGAAGAGCCTTTGGACCTTCTTGCACATATTCTATTCCCAATGATGCAGATGTATAGTGAGCATTATGTTCTATCTCTAGCTTGATCAACCCAAAGAAAAAGAATTCAAGAATTTTCTTAAGTTACATGTCACTTTCAGTCGATCTCCAGACTGGGCTGAGTCATTGTTTACATGCAGCCGGTCACGTGAATGGAGCTCCGACGGTGGCCGAAAAGCCCTCCGACAAGCCTTCCGATAAGCGTATCGTCGCTCAGTTATGGCTGGAGACTGGACTCCCCGTCTTCCAGCACCAACTTGTTCACACGATAGTTCACGAAGGTCAAAACTAGGCATGCCATTGGTCGAACTTAGACGGTGGCTGCTAGGGTGCGACTCCGTGCAGGTTCCAGCTTCACCACTGGGCCCGATACATGCTGAAGGTTGTTGTAGCCTGACGCTGGCATTGACCTGATCTCTGATCCCCGCATGCTCGGCTGAAGGGGCTTGGCATACAACATTCCCCGCAGGGGCCGGAGAAATTGACTGCCTCAGGCCCTAAGGCTCCCGCCACTCATTCTCACTAACCCCCATCCTCCTGCTGCGCTCCTGCATCCACACAAAGCACCGAGCAACACTAGAACACCTGCGCAAGAAAGGACTTTCAAGCCATCAGTCTATGGGTACCTTAATACTCTAGTCACGTATCTCGCATCTTCCCCCCACAACAACGAAGTCTGCGATCCCCACCAACACTTCCCAACCTTCAAAGCTCAAAGATAGATCTTCCCTCCCCTACATCGTTGGCGACATGGAACTACCCCCAAATGGAACAATAGCACTCAACCAGCACGAAAGACACCAGAAGCGCGAATCTGGCACTTGATCTATCTGTGGGAGCAAAAACATCCTTCCCTAACGAAAAGGGTAGTACTCCCAGCACTCAAGCTTTGCTCGCAATTAAGCTCCCAGCCGTCACATCTCATAGGCCCATCACTATTCTGCACTTCCACGACGAACCTTTCGCTCCTTCGCACCACCAACCAACCCATTCTGTTCGGATGGTTGAAACTTATATGGATCCTTGGCTCGCGCAGGCCCAGTGCGAAGGATCGCTGCACGGACGCGTCCCGAGGTCTATTCCAGATTGGACCAATTGTATCCGCGGAGGAGGGTACAATCGGGAAGAGGAGGGGAAGGGGGGGTAGGGGGCGCGAATGGTATCTACGAATATACTGTGGTTGTCGGTCTGTCTGATGGAGGGTCGGTTGCTTCAATCCGAAGTTAGCCAAGCCAGGTTTCACATTATACCGGACTTTCCGACGGGTGTCTTCCGCGGCTCAAACGCCCATGCGTCAGTAGTTCGACGATCGAGTAGTTCTCGTGTGCGAAGGAGGAGCTACTGCACCAGTCCGACTCGGGGTGATTGGCCGCACGCTTCTCACTGCGCCGATGAGAGGTCCATGCAATAACAAGGCATCTACGAGTTTTGAGGTCAGACGCACCGAGGCTGAAAGCTGCCTGCAGATCCCAAACACATGTTCGACGTGGTCACAATAGACGCGCCAAGTGCGCGATGGCCAGGAATTGCTGGCTATCTCGCGGGACCTGACAGGAAGGTGGTAATTGAAGAGGTCACGCACATCAGGGCAGGCATCCTACCCCTTTTTTGTCGGGTGTCTTGACATGTAGGAACGGTTGCATTTGCGTGCTCACGGGAGTGCCACCGAACCTTGTTTGAATTGGAGTCGCCAACATCTGTCGAATGGGAAGTGTATTACGCGGCGGAAATTGTTGGCAACAGCACAAGAGGAGCCATGCTGATGTGTATACTGCTATGTGCCGTCCCCGGTAATAGCACCCGGAGATTGAGCAACCTTGAGATTAATGACTGAAGGATTGTCGGTCTAAAGTGAGATGTGTCGACCTCGGCGCCCTAGATCAGGCTTAGTCTGGCAAAAGGCGGCACTGGCGATCTAGATCCATAATTTGACTTATCGCGCATCTCCAATAGATTCTGGCCTTCTATCAATGAGTTTGACTGACTAGAATGATGGTGACTTCAGTCAAATGGCAAATGGCATGACAGTGTGAGCACACAAACCCCTGGGTGGGACCCATAGTGCTGCATAACTACCGCCTACTTGGTCGGAGTCATGACATAACTTCAGCTCGGTTCCAGACTGCACAGCAATAGCTATCACTCCACAATCACGAATCACCGCTCGTGGCGGCTGCATTTCTTTGTCTGTCTCTCGCTTGGCCCACACTGTATCGGGAAAGCCCGAGCCAAAGTTGAAGCTAGCCCCGTTACAGTACCTAGAGTTTCGCTTTGGCCTACCCGAGCCGTGGTTGCGAGGTTGAGCTTGTGCAGTACAGTAGCAATTGTAGGCAAAGAGAGCTCCATCAAAATCTTATTCGTGGCTTGGACTCGGGGTCCGCTTGATGAGCTCCTGGTCTTACGGATTGATTGGGGGTCCTCGAGCGGCTGTTCCCCTCCGCAGCTGAGCGAGCGAAGTAAAGAACAAAAAAGCTCGAGCTCATGATCCTGCGAATTTCTTTGTTTGACAGCGATAAGGGGCTATGGCCTGGACCCAGGTTCTGGAGCTTCGGATAGCCCGCTTGCACCGATCCCTGCATCCATACCACCGGGTTCAGCACTGAACACCAGTGCTGACCCCGACGGTGCGGAATACGCAGAGCACAAGTATGTAGCGTGTATATACATTCGACATTCGTTAGCCCCTGCACTCTTCTTTGGATCATGCAGCTATGTCCCTTCAAAGCTTTCCCTGTAACCTGACACTTCTTTAGTAGCAATATGCGGTCTCCCTCTCTTTAATTGCACGGCGACACAACAATGGGGTTCACCATCTCTCCCGATCTTTTAATCGTCTTGGAGTTTGTCTTCGCCGCGATGGCGTGGACGGTAATGGGCGCCCGGCTGTGGCTACGCAAGCGCCGACGCCAGCCCTTCGGCCTCAGCGATTATGTGACCATGATCTGCATGGTCTCTCTCTTGGTGACCGTGTCCCTGATCGCGGCATATGAGAAGAGCAACATAAACAGCTTACTTCCAACGACGCCTCATGACATGGCCATTGCGAGAAGAGCCACGAGGATTTACGCGACGCAATTATACGCCTATATCATCTAGTAAGTTTTCCTCAGCCGCATCATGGTCGTCGCGTTCTCTGACGCGTGTGCCGGTGTAGCCTCTGGGGCCAGAAATTGGTTGTGCTGCTCTTCATCCAACGCGTCTGGGGTGGTCTTCCGTGGCCTCGCGTCTGGATCCGCCTGGCCTGGGCCTATATCGCGCTGACGTTCGTCTTTGCAATCGTCGCTTGGAGTGTGTCCTGCCGAGGGCCGGCGTATAATATTGTTCTTACGGGACGCCCACCCGGTACGTGACCCGCTACAGCCGCCGCTACAGCTACAGAGTAGGGCAATTCTCTAACAGTAGAGTTTCCATCTGCAGCACACTGTCTCAATGATGCGGGGTCACTCTACACCTACGTTGCGCTCAACACCTCCACCGACCTCCTCCTCATCCTCCTCCCAATCCCCTGGTTGATTCAGGTACACCGACCGTGGTCCACGTGCGTTATTGCCCCCTCACTAAGAAAGCGTTCCTAAATTCTGACTGACCCCACCCCGCAGACGTCTCCTCCTGGTCGGGCTCTTCTCGATCGGGCTGCTCATCGCCGCGGCCAGTCTCTCCCGCGCCTTCCTGACCACCACGAACAACGGCATCAACAGCCTCATCTCCCTCTTCGAGCTGCTGCTCGCCGCGCTGGCGGCCAACCTTCCGACCCTGTACAGTCTGCGGCGACGGAAGCCGCAGGCCCCCTCGCCGCCCGATCCCGAGTGCAGTATGCCGCCGCCGCACCCGCCGCAGCCCTGGACCCAGGCCCGCGTCCTCAGCGACACGCAGATCATCGCCGACTCCGGCGACACGGACACAGAGACCCAGTCCGATCGCCGGAATACGCGCGTGTCGAGCCAGGCCAGCACGGAGCCGCTGTTTCGACGGGAGTTGTATCTTTAGCAATCCTGTTGCGTGCATCCTCTCTTCGGGTGTTCTTGGTTTTGTTAAACAGTCAGGGCTGGACCCTGGTCGGGGGGTCATAGAGCCCCGCGGGGGTGGCGGCTCTATGATGTATGCATGGACTGTATATTTTTGTTATTATCATTGGGGTACATGACTCCAAACACGGGTCCCATGTTCCCCTAGCTATATACAGAAGGAGCTCATGCTCGGGTACTTGCAAAATGATGCTCACGAACTGCCTACCGGTAACTTGTTCTTCCCGACGTCCCGCCATCGAAGTCACGAGCCTAGACCAGCCCTATCTACCGGTTCACCCCCCAACCCACCCCTTCCATTCAGAGAAGAACTCATCTCCCCGGCAACACCCCCATCTGCTCCATGGGCCACTGCAACCACGCCCGGTACACCGGGCCTGGCACCTGCTCATAGATCTGCGAGAGGATATGGGTGCCCCAGCCGCGCATGCACCAGATCCACTCCAGCTGGTGCATCAGCACACAGAAGTACCCGACGATCACCATCGCCGGTGGCTGGTACTCCTTCAGCGCCAGCAGGAAATCATGCGGCACGCGCAGCAGCCACATGAACACGTCCGCCGTCTCCAGCCGCCACCCCTTATCGCGACACAGCGTGAAGCAGTGGCTCATGTGATCGAGGGCCTCGGAGTAGATGGTCTGGCAGTGCGGGTCGCCTGTGGCTTCGGCCAGGATGAACTGCCGCAGGTCCTCGAGGAAGGCGTGCTGCGTGGCGGCGGCGTCGTTGAAGTCGTGGGCGCACGGCTGGCGGTGCACGCTGAAGAGCAGGCCCAGTGGTCCGTTCTTGAGGGATTCCTCGGCCACCGCGACGATGGTCCCGGTCCCCTTGATGAGGAGGAGCCAGTTGGCGATCTCGTGGCCTTCCCACAACAGGAAGTTGCCGAGTTTGAGGGGCTTGGCGCAGCAGATGAAGGAGGAGAGTGCGGAAAAGAGGAATAAGGGCGTCGCGTTGGTGGCGGTTAGGTGTGCGATGGCGGGCGTGGCCAGCCGGAGGGCCGCGTCGTGGTGCGTGCTGGCCAGTTGGAGGTACTGGTCTTTGTGCCCCGGGCGGAGGCCCGCTAGGTGGAGGGCGGAGAGCGCCAGGATCGCCCGCAGGGTGTACGGGGCGGTGAACCCGATCTTGGGGACTTCGACGCGCCACAGCGTCTGCAGGGTCGGGTTGGCGGAGAAGGTGTACGCTGTGGAGGTGGTGTAGTGGTGGAGGAGCTCGAGGTCGGCGATGGCGAGGTCTGAGGTGCCGGTTGAGGAGGGTGGCTGGGGTAGGGCTGTGTTATTTGGGGATGTGAGGGGTGGACTCCGTCTACCGCTAGAATCGGGGGTCGAGTTGCGACTCGATGCGGAGGTGGCTTCGGTGAATGAGGAAGCTGTTTCGACCAGTCGCGTCGAGAGCGCAAAGGAACACCGTACGCCATGGCGCATGCAGTTGTCGCACGTCGGCTTTTCCTCGCCACACTGTCATCCATGTCAGAGTACTAATCCGGTGAGATCGTCTCTAGGGCAGCAGTTTCAGTATCCCACCTTGACTTTCCTGTGCTTGCATTGCTGGCACCCGTTACGTGATTTGCGATGAGACCGGCGTCCTCGGACTGTGGAGCTGGCCGACATTGTCTTTTGGCTCGAATAGCCCCGCGCAAATCAGCGCGGGCGATAAAATAACTTTGATTGCTCCGACCCGGTTTCACCGGCTGAACAAGTGCAATCGGAACTTGCTAGCCACCACCGCACTACAGAGGAGCCAGGTCACGTAGCAGGGCAAGACATTATGATTGTCATTGCAGCCCCGACGTTTCGCCCGATCATGCAAGTTTTAAAGTTGAGGTGATGATCAAAGTTCGTGTTGTTTGCCCCTGGGTCGAGTGGACCCTTTTCTTGCTTTGCCCAGACTTCTTCGCCCGAATCGTCTGCTGCGCAGTTTCACTGTCATGGCTGCCTATTCGGATCCCGTTTTGATAGCATATATGATACTACAATAGATCAAGAGATGTCCCAGGCATCCAGATTCTTCTAGCTCGAATACAAGCTTCTGAAGATGGGGTTGTTATGGTGGAAGCCTGGATGCTGAGCTATTCTTGGCGCACGCTAGCCCCGAGCTGCCGGGTGCAAACCCGCCAAACACGGCAGATGCAGTTAACTATAAATCTGATTGGTACATCTCCTTCCCGCCCAACTTGGCTCCTTGCCAAGAACTTTCCTCAGTGATTGGAATCAAAATATAGAAAGATGCCTACGATAGATGAGAAATATATCTAACTATAATAGCAGTTTTCAGGTCTTCGACTTCTTGGTCAAAGTCGTCTATAAGACAGCTCATAAGGTTCTGACAAGATCTAGGCCATTTCACGCAGTTGTCATGAAGCTGCTATTCCTGTAGCTTAACATGGGCAAAACTATGGCTCATGTGTATCTAGTAAGAAAGAGCGGAGATGGCTGCTTTCTATACTCAACGGAGCTCCTCAATGCTCAGATAGGGGGTCTTGCGTCTAATGGCTTTCTCTACGAAGCACAGAGACATCACAAAATGCGGTCCTACTGGCATTAAACCTGTCCAAGACTTCGCCCAGAATCAGCATATCCACTGACCATGTCTACATAATCCAAGAAAAAGGCCAAATCTTTGCGGGTCAAAAGCAGGACCTGCATGACCCAATAGTAAGGAGATATTCAAGATTAAGTGGTGTTTAAGCAATCCATGATATCTCTGCCGACAAGATGAACAATCCTCAAAATAGAGGATCCAGAACAGTCTATCTACCACAAAAACCACTCGAAACAATTGAAAGATTAGAAAAAAAAAAAAACAAAGATTGAAACATGCACGCAAATCACGAAGCACCCCAACGACTCAGTAATCACGTCGACTCGCGCGATCCCCGCCCCTCCAGCTGCAGCCCGACCTCCTCCGACCCGACCCGATGATGGCGCACCTCGCTCTGCAGCACCACCGACGGATGAAACAGGTTCATCACCACCATCACCAGTAACATCATCGCTGCATCCAGCACATACAGGAACACCTCGTGGCTGATGACATATCCGCTGTTGCCCTGCGCAAACTCGATCAGTCGGTACACCGACCGCACCAGGATGAGCCCGCTGACGAGGTAGCACGCAAAGAGCAGGCCGCGCCAGTCCCGCGGCCAGCAGCTGCGCCCGCGGTCTGTGGCCTTGTCCGACTCGGCGGTTGGGTGCCTTGCAATGCGGCGGTGGAAGGTGAGGGAGGCGAGGAGGAAGGCCCCGAAAAAGATTAGCTGCACGCAGAGACCGCCGACGATGACCCATTGCCCGATCTTCATCCCGCTCGCGGAGCCACCGGACATGATTCCGCCGCCTGTTTGTCTCGGTGTTAGACTAGAAAAGGCGGCATGGTTAGATGGAGGGGCGACTTGCCTGCTGCTTGGAGGAGGAACGATAGGATATCGCCCGACACGAAGACCTTGGTCAGCCATTTCACAGGGATGACGCTCAGATCGGCTGCGTTGACGAAGGTGATGATCCGAGCTAAGACCATGTAGATTGAGGCGGCGTAGAGCGTTGGTGCGAGCAAAAGCAGGAGGGTCTGGATGGCATAGAGGGTAGTCGAGGTCTGGTGGAAGTGCGCTGCTGCGCGCGCGATATAGCCGATTATCTGGACTGGAGGGTGTTCAGTACACTGAGCGACTGCCTGAGGATTCGTTCTGCACTTACAGATTCCCCCAACAATGAACGGGTTGAAGTACTTCGCGTGGGTTTGCACTCGCTGGAAAAGATGGACTGCCGTGGTCAAGAAGAACAGCACGGCGAAGATGACTGCAGCCGGCAGGCTGGGGTCGTACTCGTAGAGCACGAATGTGGGCTTGGATCTTGAGGCTAACATGTCGAATGGGTATTAAATTGAAGTCTGGGCTTTGTGTGCAGCAAAGCGTTGATTAAACAATGGCGATGTATATAATATCTGTAAAGATAATCAGAAGCAGGTGCACTATTGTGTTCCTTCCATTGGAGTCCAAAGTGCACTTATTTATAGATCGATACTCGTCGCCGACGAGCATTCGATATTTTTTTCATCCATCTGATCCAAACTTCACCAACGTCTAGGCAGTCGCATTCTGCCTCCGTTCATCGGGTTCGTATAGATTCAGCATGCAAGTTCTTCACATACGTACTCAGCTTCATATTCCCTGGCGGGCGATCCGAGCCTGTGGGTCACATTTCGCGGAGAGGTGCAACAACAGTTCTGAGCTTAGATCCGAACCCGAGTACGAACCCGAGCACGGCGGACGTTTCGACCCACTTGATCGCCATGTTCAAACTTTGATTTCATCCTGTATGTCCCTTATATAACGACTCAATTAGCTTTAAAGTTTTTTTTTTTTTGGCAATGGTTGGGGTCACGTCTCGCTCCACGACCAAGCCACGGTTTGGAACAGACATTGCGTTCGGCTGAGGGCACCTGCCGCAATCGATGCACGGTGTATTGAAAAAAGCTAAATCAATTGGCACTTTACTTGGTGTTTAATATAATTCTATTCTTAGGGTAAAAGGGCTAAAAGTCGAATGCATGGTAGCCTAACTTAGATTGCTTAAATGTAGATTGGATTGTTCTATCAATCCTTTTCCACTTTTAAGAAGTCTGACACTTACATTTCTCCTTAGACACTGCAATATGGATTCCAAGGAATCCTTGAATCTTCAACAGAACCGCATGTTCGATGACTACTCAGATCCACCGCCTGCATATTCGCCTGCGCGTGCTTCAGTCGCGTCCTCAGAAGCGTCCCTCTGGACCATCGAGCCGGATTTCCCCCCCGAGTTTACAAACGACTCGCGGGAGCTGGACTACTGCTTTGCTCCGCAAAGTAAGTTGATTCGCAGAGAGCTGTCCTTGCTTGATTATTAATTGAGATTAGAAGATGGCAAGTTCGGTATCAACGCGGACATCACTTCGCGCACGTCTGCCTTCATCCAGGCGTTCATGCGGCCGAGCACGCAGGCTCGGTTGGTGAGTGTAGGGTTGAATCGGAGCGAGTCTGGAGAGAGCAGCAGCATTCCTTCGAGTGGTGAACCCCAATCAGAAATCCCTAACCCGCCACCATTGGACGTCGTGGTGATGGTTGTCGACGGTAATGACTCAGGTGTCCCGCCATTGTTCATCTCAATGCTAAGTTTCAGAACAGAATCCATTGATCCATTCATAAGCATCGCAAAACAACTCCAACAAGACTCCCATCGCGTCCGGATCGCTGCAGATGTCTCATGCGCATCTCGAGTACGAAGTCACGGACTGGACTTCTTTGCCATCCCCCCCATCTCCTCCGCCCCTCGAGTAGCTGTTCCCTCTCGAATTCCAAGAATGTAAACTGACTCTTTGCACAGAGCCAGAGGGCAGCCGATGGTCGGACTGTCAAATCGGCTGATAACCGAGCGAGCCATCCCCGCAACCTTCGCTATTCCCTCTTCGAAGCATACAAAAGATGCTGGCAAGCCTGCATTGCACCATACCAAGACGAGGCCCGTCCCTTCATGGCGGACGCGATTATCGCCACCCCAACCGCGCATGCCCACATCCACTGCGCAGAACGTCTGTCGATCCCGCTGCATATCATGTCCGCGACGCCCCAGAGCCCTACCAAAGCCTTCCCGCATCCTAGAGCGCGTCTGGATCCCAACGAGGATATCGATCGGCCAACTGCAAATATCCTGTCTTATGCGTTCATTGAGGAGTCGACGTGGCGTTTGTGAGTTCAGTGACTCTTGTTTGACGGCTCGAAGTGACTAACGTGCGGTCATCAGAATCCTGGAGCCCCTCAATATCTTCCGACGACAAGTCCTTGGGTTGATGAGCATTTCACCCACCGTGGCGGGGAGGCTGATGATCGACCAGGAGATTCCACATACGTACTTCTCTTCGAGGGTTCTGGTTCCGAAGCCGAGAGATTGGGCTCTCAATTATGGTGAGTGACTCGTTCTATGGCCATCACAAGCGGAAATTAGTTTGGCTAACGTCCCCTACAGAGATGTCCGGCTATATTTTCCACGAGCCTGAAGAGTCCTACCGCCCACCAAAGGATCTTGACAACTTCATCTCGTCGGGCGCAGCACCGATTCATCTCACGATGCGGGACACTAGCATGCTGGACTCGGATCTGCTGGCTACAGTCATTCAAGAAAATATCCTATCACGTGGGCTTCGGATTGTTGTCTCCGAAGAGTGGCGGCATGTCTGTGCGAAGCTGGACAATCCCAATGTATACGTTGTCAACTCCAGTGCCAGCGGTAGGCTCCATGTCTTCTATCTTGATCTGGTCTCAGCATCACTCACTTTCCGAACAGACTGGCTACTCCCCAGAGTATCCCTAATCATCCACAACGGGAGCATAGACGCCACGAAAACGGCTTTACGGCACGGTAAACCAAGCGTGGTCATCGCAGAGACCGACGAGTAACACTCCCTGTACTCTTAGCAAGAAGCCTTGGATACTAACCCATCCAGCCACCTGGCAACCGGCCAGACCCTCGCGAAAATCGGCGCCGCCGCCTCGCCACTACGCGCCAACGAGCTCACCTCCGATGCCCTCTCCCAGGCGATCGCCTTCTGCCTCCGCGCCGACGTCCAACAGACCACCCGAGCGATCCAGCGACAGCTACTCGACGAGGCCGGGGCCGCCAGCGCCATCAAGCTCTTCTATCGCCGGCTGCCTCCGCAGGTCCAACCCTGCAGCATGACCAAGCAGGACGTGGCGATGTACCAGATCTGGAACCGACCGTCACAGGCGATCTCAGCGGAGGCGGCGGCCGTCCTGCTGCAGGAGCAACGCATCAAGCTTACGGATCTCGTGCTGTAAGCCTTCACCACAACTCTGACTTGGATGAAAGCCTTCCTGACTCAGAATGAAGGATATCTCGGTGCCCATATAACATCCCATCCACGCAAACTGCGTCCGAACGTCCGGCCAAAGATTATTGGAATGGATTCTCCCACGCCGCAAAGGACATCGTCAGTGCCTCGGATCTGGTCAGCAAGGTCCCTGGGCTGCGGAAGAAGGTATGACGCGACGAGGCAACCATCTCCTTCTCAATACCCGCTAACTTAGCTTGTGGGTATCGCAGGATTCGATGGCCGACGGCGGCGATAAACCCCGAAGTGGGGGCAGGCCCAACCTCGCGAAGGACGTCGGGGTCGGAACCGCCCGGTTCTTCGGGAATATTGCTCTGCTTCCATTCACCAGTTAGTCTCAATCCCCGTCAATGCTCTTGTGCCCATGTGTCTTGCTGATGGTTTCTTTGTAAGGTACCGCGTTGGTGGTCAATAGCGTTGCGTATGGGGTCAAGAGTGTGAAGGCACACAGGCAGAACAGCAGTCGCGAGGAAGAGATCCCCACCGAAGCACTGGATGCGACTCGGGAAAAGGAATCAGGCTCGTCAGTCGCAGGACAAGCAAAACGCGATTCTCCGGAGGGATCCTCCGCTGCGAACCAGATCCAGCTCAGGAACGAGGAGCACGTGGAGGCGATCTGCCGGCGGCATTTGGATCGTGGGTTTCGGAATGACAAGATCCATAACCTAGAGTTTAGGGGGAATGTGGTTGATGTTTATGAAAGTTTTTAGAGTGAGAGGGCGGGGCTGGCGTTGATAGATATAGAGTGTTTTTGGGCAATGCAGATTGTAATATAGTCAAAGTTGGATATTGATAATAGATTGATCATGCGGATAGAGGGCATATCTGAAGTTGGTCGCCTTCAAGTTCCGTCAAATGCCGATGAAGTACTGAAGCCCTGGAAATGTGTATCCTATCCTCCAAAGCAAGCCTCGAGACTGTCTTATTGGATATCGTTGCTACATCAAGAATTCCAGATGCACAGAAGCATTGAACGGAGAATGAAAGATATCAAACTAAAAAAAAATAAACAAAAAAACTAATGAACTAGACAACAAGTGTGGTGACAGACCCTAAGCCGGGACGGACAAGAAGGGGGATGAAAAACAAAAAACGATCCCGGTGCGACTCGAACGCACAACCTTTAGTACCGGAAACTAACGCGCTACCATTGCGCCACGAGACCCCAGATGACGTAACTATGCCCTAATACTACATATCAATGGTAGCTACTTGCTGCAGGTAAAGGTTAGGTGCCTTCTCTGCCCACTTCATATAAGCTGCTAGATGATGAAATCTTCAATGCCGTGCGGAAAAACCGATCACTCCGTTACCGTCGTGGGAGACACGGTATTTCTAACGTGTGGGCAGAATTGTAGCTGAATTAGAGCCTGGAACAGTGGAGCGGCAGGCTCCACCCGAAGAAGAATCCAGACCCGAGTCGTCTCCGAGCAGAAGGACAATAAAACCGAACAAATGGCTTAGGGCAATTTACTCCGTTCCGATGGACACGTAAGACTGCGCATGTGGGCGGTCACTTGGTGATTCAAGAAGCAATTATATGCACCCAGCAATGCAATAAGCAGGATGGAGTCCATTGAACACTGCAGAGTGTCAATGTTACCGCATTCGGAACTCAGATCCCGAGCTGCAGCTCGAGCCGAACATTTGCAGGGGTTTATTAGCGGTCAATTGTTGGCGGCAACGGGATACAGAAGGCAGAATTCGAGCAATCTTAGCGACTATCATCACTTTTTGTTTTTTTTCATGTTGATCCTGCGGATTGTGAGTCAGCGCAGTCCACGGAGGCGTGGACGGCCTTCGGAACGGAGTGAAGAGTTGCGTAGAACACTGGAAGGCCAAGACCAACCCTAAGACGGATCGAGAATAACCCCCAAATTTGCAATCATCGCCGCTGCGGAAATTTCGCCGCGCCATCGCGTAATCATGCAGTTTCCTATCTGGCAAGTTCTGTCCCAAATGGCGGTGTTACTTCCCTCTCCCACCCGGCATTTATACCCCATGGCTCGAGGTTGAGATCAAGATCTTTTACCCGCTCTTCCCTCTCTTTCGACCCCACCCGGCACTCTCTAGGGATGCTCCAAGACAACATGGAGCGGCCGACTGAGGGTGGTCTACCGTCGGAGAAATCCGACGGGGTGACAACCGCCATAGCGGCGACCAGCCCTATCGATGATGAAGCCCGCCCTGCAGTCTTCTCGTCCACTGTCCAGGAGATTATGTTTGTCGCCGTGGCGACCATGGCGATCGCCATGTCCTCGCTCGTGAGCGGAGCCGTCACCGTGATTACGGCCCAAGTTCAGAATGATCTGAACATGACCACGGCGGAATTGACCTGGTTGAGCGGTTCCTCCTCGTACGAACCCATTCCCCAATTACTAACGGCCCTAGTATAGTACGCTCGCTAACCCTACTCTCCAGATTGGCTGCCGGATCCTTCCTGTTATTCTTCGGCCGCCTGGCGGATCTCTTCGGCCGTAAGACCCTGTTTCTAGGAAGTATGGTCCTGTTCGCCGTCTTCTCTCTGGCGGCCGGGTTCAGCAAGACGCCGCTGCAGCTGGACATCCTCAACGGGGTGATGGGGTTGATGTCGGCGGCCTCGGTGCCGCCGGGCCAAGGGATGCTGGCCAACATCTATCAGCGGCCGTCCAAGCGGAAGAACCGCGTGTTCGCGTGCTTCAGCGCGGGCAACCCGATGGGCTTCGTGTTCGGGAGTGTTTTCTCGGGAATCGCGACGCAGCTCTTCAACTGGCGCGCCAGCTACTTCCTGCTGGCCATTATCTATGTGGTGGTGGTCATCGTGGCCGTCTTCAGTGTGCCGGTCGACAACTCGCCCAAGACGGAGATCTCCGGGCAGGCGATCAAGAAATTCGACATCGTGGGCACGCTCCTCACGATTGCGGGGATCGGGATGTTCTCCGGTGCTTTGAGGTGAGGTTCCCCTTGTCTCGAACCCTCATGGCCATTCAGTACTAACCAAGAGTCAAGTCTGGGCTCCGACGCTCCCCAAGGCTGGAAGACGCCCTACGTACTCGTCCTCCTCATTCTGGGCGCCTTGTTCATGATCGCCTTCGTCTTCTGGGAGAACTGGTACGCCTACCCGCTGGTGCCGATGAGCATCTGGCGCGACCGCGACTTCTCGCTGGTGATCGCCATCTTGCTGCTGGGCTTCCTGGCGTTCCCCATCATGTCCTTCTGGGTGTCGCTGTTCATGCAGCGCATCAAGGGCTACTCGCCGCTCATGGTCGCAGTGCACATGCTGCCCATGGCCATCGGCGGGATTATTGTGAACATCATCGCCGGCCTCATCATGCACCGCGTCTCCAACAGCCTGCTGATGGCCGTCGGCGCCACCGCCTACGTCGGCTCTTTCTTGCTGATGGGCCTCCAGCACTCGGACAGCATCTACTGGGCCTTCATCTTCCCCGGGCTGGTGCTGGCGGTCGTTGGCGCGGATTTCGAGTTCTGCGTTGCGAACATGTACGTCATGAGCTCGTTGCCCCCCACGCAGCAGAGTATCGCGGGCGGGATCCTTCAGACTGTCACTAAATTGTGTGTGACGATTGGGATGGGGATCAGTACGGCGATCTATGATGCGGTTGTGGCCAAGGGTACGGCCACCGGGGGTTATTTTAAAGGGGATCCGATTGAGCCCTACAGTGCTACGTTTTTGTACTGTGCAGGGATCGCGTCGTTGGGGATTCCGTTGTGTGCGTTCCTGAGGATTGGGAGCCAGGGGAATACCGGTGGGAAGGAGGGGTCAGAGGTTGATTCTGAGGCGCTGAGTGCGAGTAGGGGCAGTGTGTTGGAGGAGAAAGGTCGTGGGGAGGTTTGAGGGGAAGGGAATAATAATATCTGAGGGGTGGATATATAGACTGTGACTAAGACGGATACCACAACAGCGATGTACCTATTGTTTAATTACTGGAAATTGATTAGAATCCTGATAGACTGTTGATATAGGCTGCTTACATGGAAATCGATTGCACTACTGCGAAGAGTAAGCGGCGTGCTGCATCTTCTGACACTGTATATCCATTACACCTCTTATTTACCGCAGTGTACAACTCATGAGCTCGAGTGAGTGGGGCGATAATTATACTGTATCGCTGTTATATTACTTCTGACTTAGTCTAAGTTGACAGGAATCAGGCTACCGTCAATTGCGCGAATAAGCATTGCCATGGCCCACTGGTGTGATAAGCAGACTTGATTAATTACAGTAGCTCCCACCTCCCCTTCCTCCTTTCCCTCAAGCTTCTCACGCTCTAACCCTCAACAACACACTGTAATCTGTCCCTCCCAACCCTGCCATCAGCATTCTCAACTACCATGACCACCCCCTGGAACAAAGGCACGCACTCCGCCCTCGTCCCACTACCAGGACCCGAAACAGGACCCTCCCTCTTCCTCTCCGCCGCAGGCCCCGAACGCCAGAATGCCAACGGCACCCTCGCGCCCGCCGTGATCATCGAAGCCGGCCTCGGCAGCTCGCACGTGGAATGGGTCGCGGTGCAGCGCCTGCTCGCCGCGCGGGCGCGCGTCTACACCTACGACCGGGCCGGCTACGGGCGCAGCCCGCCCTCTCCGCTGGCGCCGACAGCGCACAACCGCGTCCACGAGCTGACGCAGCTCCTCGACGCAGCGCAGATCCCGCCGCCGTACGTCTTGGTCGGTCACTCCTACGGCGGGGTCCTGGTCCGCGAGTTCCTGCGCCAACGCGGCCCCGACGTCGTCGTCGGCATGGTGATCGTCGATTCGCCGCGGGCGCAAACCCCCTTACCTCCGGATTGGCCGAGCTTGATGGGGCGGTCGGATTACTATGCTATTGTGGGGCTGGATGAGAATTTCGCGGTGACGCCGGAGGAGTATCAGGCGATTAAGGAGGATGAGGTCAGGAACCGGGCGACGGCGGAGGCGGAGTTGGCGCTGATTGCGGCGGGGACCAAGGACTTGAATGAGGCGATCCCCGAGGGGATGCAGTCGCTTGGGGATGGAAGGTTGAGTGTGATTTTTGCGAATGAGTCCGTGGATTTTGGGAAGGTTTATGCTTATGGGGTGGAACATGGACATGGCACGGAGGAGGCGCGACAGCGGCTGGCGGACCGGTTGGCGGTCATGGAGGAGATGGATGAGCGAGGGCAACGGGAGCATCTGTCGCTGTCGAGTCGGAGTCGGTTTGTGTATGCGAAAGGGAAGGCGAGGACGCATAATTTGCAGTTTGTTGCACCGGAGGTGATTCGGGATGAGGTGTTGTGGGTCCTGGAGTTGATGGGTTGAGGATTCGGGGCGATTCTGGCTGGATCTGGATGGTACTTTAGGGCTGATCAGTCGTGTACTGTTGCATTGCGCCCTACACTGCTGGAATAGCCCTTATGCCTCGCAAAATTGTCGAGCTTGCGACAGACTACATAATGAAAGGTGCGACAAAGCTATAGTCAAAACCGGGGCGGAGATCCTTAAGAGACCTGCTTTGTGTGTGAAGAGCATTCCTATTCATCCTGGTCGAAGTAAATTCATATACTGCTAACTCCACGGTATTCAGTCTATAAATCAAGCCCTTTCCTAGAGCCAATGCCCGGATGGATTCAGATTAAGTACCACGCGGCGATGAGCGAGACGACGGGTACCCGCCAGGTCTGATTCAAACCTGCATATCCGTCAATGTTATTTGCGTACTTTAGGACACTTGACCAGACATGGAATCCACGCGGGGAAGCATTCCAGGTGACTGGTGCGCAGAATCCTAAGGTACGATCACATTTGATCTGCGTTGCTGACCATCACCACTCACGCTCGGTCTAGGCCAGTCTGTTGATTAGGCAGACAGTGGTGTCGCCATGGCTTCAGACTATAAGCCTTCAGACAAGGATACCGCAGAAAAGCCCGGGGTCCGAATGCCGGGCTGGTGACTTGTTGAGTGTAGGAACAAGAAAGGGATAAGAAATGCGAGGGAAAGTCGGGGTTTATGAGGGCCGAACTTCGCGCCACTCGGTCAGCCTCGCACTTTCTATCCCCCGACCACTGGGTTCTGCAAACCCCGGACCGCTGGTCATGTTGACCACGAGATTGTTTTATGTGAATGTTTTGGGCCGATTTTAGCCTCTCGCGACCCTTTAAAAAGTCTCACATCCCTCGACGGTTGCTCCTCTCGCGAAACAGTCACCACTCGTGCGTTGTCATCCGATCGATTGCGCCCTGCCTCGCGGAGCGCCGAACATCACATTTACCATGGCTCCCCCCCACACTCCCACTTCCGAAAGCATCGAGTCAGCTGGCACGCATAATTCAGAATCGGTCAATAAACACGATGCAGCAGTCAGCAGCGAAGGCTCAGCCAAAGCTGGGGGCCCGTCTGGTCCTCCGGGCCCACCCGAGGATCAGTCCAGACTTAGGGTTGTCTGTCTGATCGTCTCGGCCTTTGTCGCCATGTTTCTGGTTGCACTGGACAGAACGATTATCTCGACTGTACATACACCATACCATCTCTCGTGTCTCTGCTTGACGCTAATGTGTACGCAACTCACAGGCCATCCCCCAAATCACCGATGAATTCGACTCCTTCGATGACGTCGGCTGGTACGGAAGCGCCTACTTGTTGACATGCTGCGCATTTCAACTCTTATTTGGCAAGTTGTATAAGCTTTTCTCTGTCAGGATAGTCTTCCTCGGCAGTATTCTACTGTTTGAGGTCGCCTCTGCCATCTGCGGTGCTGCACCCAATTCAGTAGCCTTCATCATTGGAAGAGCCATCTGTGGCGTCGGGGCTGCTGGCATTCTCGCTGGAACTGTGAGTCGGCAAACCAGCTTAACGGGGATTATTGCTGAGAGTCGTGTGCTAGATCATGTGCATCATTCACTCCGTCCCTCTGCAGAAGCGCCCTCAAATCCAGGGACTGTTCGGTGCCCTGTTCGGCATCGCCTCGATCGTCGGACCCTTGATTGGCGGCGCCTTCACATCGAACGTGACATGGCGATGGTGCTTCTATGTCAACTTACCAATCGGCGGCGCCGCTATGATCTTCATTGCCTTTTGCCTCAAGGTTCCCAAGCAGGATTCCACCAGAGTCTCGTGGACTGAGAAGCTGGTACAGCTGGACTTCCTCGGCACCACACTCCTGGTCTCTGGTGTAGTCTGTCTCATCCTGGCACTCCAGTGGGGTGGCCAGACATATTCCGTATGTCGTCAAAATCGATACCTTAGACCGCAACTGACACTCAGCAGTGGAGCAACGGTCGCGTCGTGGCTTGCCTGGTACTCGCGGGTGTCCTGCTACTTTCGTTCATTGCCGTGCAGATCTTCCTTCCCAAGACCGCGACGCTCCCTGTGCGCATATTCTCGCAGCGCAGCATCATCTCGGGCTTCTGGCAGACCCTCTGCGTGGGTTCCGGAAACTACATCTTCGGTAGCTTACCACCCCCTTCCTACTGAGAACCGTGACATGTCACTGACATGGATTGCAGTATACTTCCTCCCCATCTGGTTCCAATCCATCAAAGGTAACTCCGCCGTGGAATCTGGCATCCGCCTTCTACCTATGATGCTGGCGATGGTGGTGGGCTCGATCGGCGGGGGCATCGTCAACTCCAAGGTCGGGTACTACACCCCCTTAGCGATCATCGGATCCTGCATCATGGCCGTCGGCGCCGGCCTTCTCACCACCTTCCAGGTGGACACAGGCGAGGGCAAGTGGATCGGCTACCAGATCGTCTACGGGATTGGTCTGGGGCTGTGCTTCCAGGTTCCCAATCTCGCGGCGCAGACCGTTCTGCCCAAGCCTGACGTGCCGTCGGGGTTGGCGTTGATGCTGTTCGGTCAGCTCATCGGGGCGGCGGTGTTCGTGTCGGTCGGGGAGAATATCTTGGCTAACCAGCTGGTGGAGAGGCTGGCGGGGCTGCCGGGGTTTGATCCCCGGCTGGTCACTTCGGGGGGCGTGACGGAGCTGTTAGATGCAATGCCGGCGGATCTGCGTGGGACGGTGCTGTATTCGTATAATGAGGCGCTCAGGAGGGTGTTTTGGGCTGGGTTGATTATTTCGTGTTTGACGGTGCTGGGTGCGGCGACGCTGGAGTGGAGGAGTATCAAGCAGGGGCAGCCTCAGCCTGATGCTGAGAAGAAGGCGGAGAGTGCAGAGGAGAAGAGTGTGGATGCTGCCAGGGGGCAATAGACTACAGGGCTTTTGTTTTATTTGGTTCTTCTACTTCAAGAATGGGGAAGCAAGACGGATTTACTAGCTAGCTTTGCGATAACATTTTAATTTCAACAAACTACATATGCTTCTCTGATCCTGGGATGGTCTTATAGTTGGTAAATGGTTTCTATACGTCCAGCTCCCGACACTGTTCTCTCTTTCCAAAGCTATGTAGAGAGACTTCACATTCTTTGTTGCTTGTCTGTCAAGTCCCTGGTACATTGGAACCATAATCCTCTCCCAGGGTACTGCAATTCTGGACTTGGACACGAGGGCTAAGTACACGACCAGCAAGATATAATCTACCATGGGACCAAACACAGGTGTTCGGACAGGAGCTTCAATCCAAGCATTTACTACCCCTATGAACGATCGCATCTTCGAGTGGGCAATGGGAGAGTTAGAGGTTAGGAAAGGGAGGCACTTCCAGTCCTAGTCGGGGGGGTAGAGGATCCGAGCAGTGAGAGCCCGGACTTAGGATGTCCGCCGGGGGCTCATGAGCCGTTTCATTTGGCTTAGGGTTGGCGGGCGCCACATGGATCGCTGGAAACAAGATAAAGGTAGATACAGCAAATAACATACTTTGCATCATCGTCATGAATCACAGAGACCACGTCTCATTTCACTGTACTACCAAGACAGACTATAACTTTGAGCCATCAACCCGAATACAAACATGCCAGACAACCATCCGTTTGTCAACTCCTGCCATTCCAAGACAAGCTCGTATTCTGGCTCCTTGCACACAAGGCTCAGCTGTGGAAATGAGTGAGTCCACCCGCGTGCGTACTTTCCATTTCACTGAAGTTGGGGAACGGGGTTTTGCTTTGACGATGTCGAGAATAGAGTCAGATGGTATTGAGGGTAAAAAGGTTGAGGTTGATGGGCAAGCTTTTCGTGGTTGAAGGACCTTGACATCGATGAGGCCAGAGGGGCCATACGCTTATTGATACTGTATGCACAAGGAAGGCATGAGAAATCTGCATTGAATTTGCGAGCCCGGAGTATGAAACCTTATTTATCACTACTGCAATCAGGTGATGGATATAGATTTTGATCAATTTCATTATAGGAAATCTACTAGCAGTAAACAAGCGCGGGATTTCGCACTCGATCGAGAAAACATAGAGAGGTATTCCAGTATACGGTCGCCCTACCACTGCTCACACGCAGCGGCCCCCCGCGCCTCCCTAAACCACAGCTCAGTCATTCCACGATCAATATCGACGTGCATCGCCCTGGGGCCCCACAGCAGAATGGGGTGGTACTCGGTGATTATCGCCCCCGGTTCGCCCAGCACCTCCCGGTAGAACCGCACCGGATAATTCCGATCGATCACGCCGTAGAAAGCAGAAGCCCCGGGGAAAATCGCTCCGGTACGCATGCATGCCCTGGCCCAGCTTCAGTTCCAAGTCATCCCAACTCAGCTGTTCGGCGTCCGGGCCTACCGCTTTCAATGTGCAGCCTATGACTGGCCCTTTTGTGCCAGACAGGAACAATGGGCCGAACATTGCATCAAGATTAGTCATTGTGGCGGGAATGAGAAGTAAATTGAGGCTGTACTTATTTGCGTTTTGAGATGGCCAAATACTGAAGTTGACGCACCCAGATAAATGTTCATAGCCAGGGCGGGCGGTTAGGGCAGTTCTAAATAGTTCTCGTATATCTCCTGGCCATCAGAAGAATGTCGCGAGTTTTCGGTTGCGACACCTCAAAGAGAAGGAGGATTTCGTTTAGACGGAAAGTTCCCATTGTGTGCAGCTTATGAGCGCCTCAGTCAATCAAAGAAACCCAGCGTTCGGGCGCATCCGGAAAGTGCATTCATCGTCCACTCTCACCGCTGACAGGTAATTACCTCTTAGATAAACGTAGAACGAGCAGCCAAGACACAAGCAAAGTTCTTCACGGGGGTTTGTGGTCTTAGATCTCCCTATGATTTCATTTGTCGAGTGGTGTTCTTCTTCATGCCATCATACTGGTGGTGAGGATCTCATTCGCTTGCCCTAAAGGTCCAAATGTCCATGCAAGAGTTGCAGATACTACAGACCTTGGATATAATCCTTGCCAATGAGGCAAGGAGGCATTCTGGCAGGCGCTCCGTTATCTGCGCCTATGCCTTGTAAACGATTAGTTGAAAGATCACTCTGCACGTGGTCAGTAGGTACTGAGTATAATTCTGGAGGAAGGATGAATTTTGCGGTGCCAGAATGCTCCAATGGGCGGCTAATGCGTGGTGAGACCTAAGAGCCAAGGCCGTGCATGAACTGAAATGCAGGTTTGATGCACACCGTGAACATGGGGTTTGACTTGCTGATCGCACAAAGAGCTGATTCCTTGTTCCGAGTCAGTGAGGGGCTGCGACGCCAGTGTTGGAGGGCACAGTGCGTGGCTCGAGCATCACCGCGGCCTTACTCGCCTCTGGGGCGAGAGGATATGATGTAATGTGCTGCTGGCCAAACCGGATGAATTCAGAAATTTCGCGCTAGACTCGTAGGGGTATTTGCTCAGTGACAGTTCCCCGCGGGAGAGACCCGGCAACGCGTCCAAATCCAGTAACCGAGAACACATTCTACACAAAAGTCCATTGGAGGGAAAATCTTGTGAGCCAAAGAATGAAGCGAAAGGGGCAGACTCGGCAACTGCGAATGTGCGGAAGGATTCAAGGAAAGGAATTTCGGGCGGGACCGCTGAGGACCTTGCGGGAGCCCAGTGGAGCTCAGCCCTATAGGGCGTTCCATGTGCCCGTTGCCAGCATCTCACTCTTGGCACCATCAAATCTTGTCCTGCTGTTCATATCCACGAGTCTGCGGTTCGGAATCGGATGCGTCGCGGGAACTCGAGTTCTGGTCATACAGAGCATCCGACGAAGAGCCGCTGTTTTGTCTGTGACATGTAAACCACGTACTGAAGCGCTCGTCTTGAGATAGCCCTCAAAGTGGACCAGACAGCACAAAAACAAATTCTCCACTCAGCTTCCACTCAATGGTCATCAGTCTGGACGCTGACTCGGCAATGTGGCAGTTTGCCCCCACTAGGCTGACAGCGTCCGGCCAGTTCCTGTCGACTAGACCCTCCTTGACGCCTTGAAAGCCCCGAAAGCGCGCGCATTTATCTAGACCTCTACCCACCTCTACCCCAAGGTCCCCAGACAGACATCTATAAGACCTACACCATCGGATCAGCATCATCGACCATGAGCAGCAGTTCAGCCCAGTCCTCTCCTCCTCCGCAATCATGGCTACCTTCAACGCCTCCGACGTGAACCTCCACACGGCGAGCAAGGAGGACGTGCTCTGCTACTATGCCATCTCGGACAACGAGTACAACGGCCATCTGGGCGCGCGGATCTCCTCCATCTTCGTGATCCTCTTCGTCTCAACCGCCTTCACCTTCTTCCCCGTGGTCTCCAAGAGCCTCCCCAGCTGGAAGATCCCGCACAACGTCTACATCTTCGCCCGCTACTTCGGCACGGGCGTCATCCTGGCCACCGCGTTCATCCACCTGCTGGATCCGGCCTACAAGCGCATCGGCCCCAAGACCTGCGTCGGGGTCTCCGGCTACTGGGGCGAGTACTCGTGGTGCGCGGCCATCGTGCTGACGGCCGTCGTGCTGATCTTCCTCCTCGACCTGGCCGCCGAGGTCTACGTAGAGCACAAGTACGGCATCGAGCGCGACGAGTCGGCCACCAACGCCTTCATCGCCCAGGAGCCCTGCCCGTCCCTGCACGGCACCCACGACGGCGACCCGGAAGGCCGCCGCCGCATCCCTGACGGAGAAAAACCCGTCCCTGCAACCTCCACCAACTCCGCCGACGCGGACGCAGACGCAGACGCCACCGAGCGGTCCTTCCGGCAGCAGATCGCCGCCTTCCTGATCCTGGAGTTCGGGATCATCTTCCACTCGGTCATCATCGGGCTGAACCTGGGCGTGACGGGGTCCGAATTCGCCACCCTCTACCCTGTGCTCGTCTTCCACCAGTCCTTCGAGGGTCTGGGCATCGGCGCTCGGCTGTCGGCGATCCCCTTCGCCAAGCACTCCAAGCTGCCCTATCTCCTCTGTCTGGCCTACGGGCTGACCACCCCCATCTCCATCGCGATCGGGCTGGGGCTGCGCACGACCTACAACCCCAACTCCAAGGAGTCGCTGATCATCCAGGGGGTCTTCAACGCCGTGTCCGCGGGCATCCTGATCTACAGTGCGCTGGTGGAGCTGCTGGCCCGCGACTTCCTGTTCGATCCCTGCCGCACGCGCCGGCGGTCCAAGTTGTTGTATATGGTGGGATGTACGTTGCTGGGGGCGGGGATCATGGCGCTGGTTGGGAAGTGGGCGTGAGTGTGGCGGTTGTGTCCGTTGTGATTATGGTAGATGAGGGAGACTGTGGATTAGTGGGAGACGCTTGTGTATATAAAAGTTGCTAGGTACTTTAGGCGATGGAATAATCCGGGGTAATCTGTTGAAAGGAATTGCATCTCTCGTGGTTGAATCCTCGTTTTTTTCCCCCGCTAGCCTCTGTCGAGCTGCTGTGACCGGCTCTGCCGGGTAAATGTTTACCAGTAACCAGGCAGGCATCCAGCGCGGCTGCGACCGGGGCAAAACTGAAGCACAATGCAAGGATGATAACAATTGGTGTCGTGATTCGTCTACTCCTTTCCAACCATCACTATCCGGAGCAATGATGAAGGGGCCATGAGGTCATAGCGAGTACTACTAAGTCTCGTCGTGAGATCTCCAAGCGGACGCAAGAGTATTCTTCGGCAAATTGCAACAGAGCCAGGTACGGTACATGGCGTTAGGGAAACAAAGTCTTCAAACTCAGTGTCAAATCCAATCATAAAGCATAAGCTGCATTAATATATATCATGGTATAATAGAATATACACAACCACGGGCGCCCTTCTTCTCATCCGGTATAGTATAAACAAAACACGCGCGACGCCTGATGATCCGGTCATCAATTGTCATACCCCTTTGTAATGAGATTGTGGAACATTAGGGGGGATAATCTATCCGCATGGCGGCGATGAGTTTATCGTGTCTAGCAGCAGCACTCGCAGCATTCGAAGCAGCAAAGACCGGCGCAGCTGGGTTTTGTTAGTTGGCTTCTTGTTGTGGGATGAATGGGATGGGAGACAGGAACGTACACTCCACAGCAGACGTCTTCGCCCTCACCACCACCACGGAGGCTCATTTGCATCTGTTCGGGCTGGTTCTGTTGGTTGGCGAGGTGGTTAGCTTGAGCTTGGGGATTTGGGTGGCGGGCGAAGGACACATACGGGCTGGCCGGTGACGACCCGCTCGGTGACAGGGGCCTCAGGGCCGGAGGGCTGCTGCATGGTCACGGTGTTGGCATCCCAGGTGGGCTGCTGGGTGGGAGCAGACTCCTTGTTGGACGATTTGAACCAGTTGAACATGGTGAAGATGTGATGAGTGGATGCAGGTGAGTGTGAGTGGGGAAGAGGAGGGCGTGACGGCAGTAAGGATTATTATATTGTTGTGGTGGTAGATAGTCGGGTATCGGCAATTCTGGGAAGAAAAGAAAAGAGAAACAAAACCCACCCAAGCGGTGGAATCCACCGGTTATTTATCTCTTGAAAGTCAATCCGGGGTCCAATGGCCAGGACCCAGTGCGCAGCATCAGCCCTACAGAGCAGGCGTCAGCGAAGACCAAGCGATTCGCTATGACTTCATCGTCGTTGGGGCGGGAGAGGACTGCTTAGGATGATCTATCATCCATGCGGTCTATTGCTGTGCTGGCTGGGGGAAAACTGAGGGAGAATGATGTGAGTGTTTCTATTCTGGACAGGGACGTCCAGGGGCGCTTGACGTCAGAGGAGCCAGCCCGGTAAATTGCGAAGGGATGGAGGGTTGAGGGTTGTTGCGGTGAGCGTGCGCGGGGCCGATGCGGGCGTGGCAATATGGGTTAGACAGCCATCAGCCACCGAAGCGAAGCATGCAAGACAGGGGCTGTGGCCGAGGCAGTGTTGTGCACCAAGCAGAGCGAGTGCAGAAAGTGTTAGGCAGCCTCGTTTCGGGCCCCACCCATTATTGCCAAATTTGGCGCCAGTCATTTCCCCCTCAAGCTTTGGTCAAGCTTTGCTTGGAAGCTTGGCCAATCAACGACCGCTCTTGGACCCAGCGGCACTAGGCGGGCTGAAGAAGGATCATTCTGGCTGTTAGACCGCTGTGCTTGACGCTGCAGAGGATCATGATAATACGAGTACGTGTTTCCACTGGGGCTGATGACGGGTGATAGTTCAGCAGTGCTTTGGCGCAAGACTCAGTTTGTGTACACCTGGCTCATTTTTGCAATCGCTTTCCCCCAACTGTGGATGGATTGGCTCTCTACGATGACTGTCGGATCGTGTGTCAATTGGCGGGGTCCGCGGACTCCGAGACAGAAAGAATCCTCCACATTATCGGCGCTAAATGGTAGGTTGAGGTGATTGTGGCACCTGGAGGCTGGTTGGCACTGCAGCAGTGCAGCGTTGCTGAATTGGGATCGCATTTAGGGCTCCAAAGTCAGTGGCTTAGCCCCTGGCCCCCATTTACACTGCCTCGGAAATACTAGTCTGTCTGCACGGGTTCGGTGGTGAGTGTTGGGCGGTCGGAACTTCGGAAGTCCAAAGCTTCGCCTCGAACATTCCCCCATTAGGGTGAGTCAAAGCCATGAACAAGGGACTGGATCGTTCACGTAGGAGAAAAATTGTTTGTCAATTGTGAGGCTGACGCGAGTAGGGACGCAAACTATTTGCAAGTCTGACTGTTCTGCGTAATGAATGACAAGCACATAGACCATCCGATCCCTACATGCTCTTTACCCGTATTTTCACCTCGCAGCTACCACGGGTTGCCCCTATACGCATTTTCTTACCTGAGAGGGAAGGAGCAATCGCAGTATCTACACACTGCAATTGGCCCCCATTTCCCGAGCCATCAGCTGCTGCTTCTCTGACACCGCTTGTCTCGAGCCCCTACAACATCCCGCGCCACGTGCACATCTCTTCGTCCGCTTGTCAGCACACCGAGCCAGCGCACAAGAGATGATCTTCCAGATAACCACCCCGGTAGTACAAACCACCAACCCCGCGACCATTCCCAACAACGCAGGGACCATCGCCGGAATGATCAGACGCCAGAAGTTGGGGTTGGACCGGTGGTGGTGCACGTAGGCATTCATCGACGGGCCAGCCACGGCAAACGGGGACTTGCCCACGTCGTTGTGGTGGTGGCGTCCCTCCCCATCAGTCGAAACGACCATGTTGTAGGGACGGATGCAGGGGCTGTCGCCGCACGATACGTGGGCCTCCGACTTCTCATTCAAGGTCTTATGCAGGGCATTCTTCTGCTCCTTGCACCAGGACTTGTACTTGCCCACCAGCATCTTCCAGTACTGGGCGTGCCACACCTTGTTGCCGTGGCCATGAGACGCATGGTAGTCAAGGAGTGGCTCGATGATGATCTGGGAGATAGAGAGGTCGTCTTCGTCGGCGTCGCGGGACAAGCGAACGTGGATCACGCTTGCGGTGGCGGGGTGACCGGTGGAATCAAAAAATTTGACCTCCACGAAGTACATGTCGCCCACCTCGGAGTCGACCCTCGCTGGGAGATATTTGATGTCCACCCCGTAGGTCAGGAGAACGGTTTCGATGGTGTCGCTGTCAATATTGCCATTGAGGTGCATCTGGGCTGGAAGTTGCATGGGGAACCCGGCAGGGAAGACGCTGACGTTGTTGACCAGAAGGGCATTGTGTTCGGTTCGGAGGTTCATTGCCTAGGGACAATTTCAGCATTTGATTTGGGTCTCCCAAGATAAAGGTAATCTGGAGTCTATACCACAAAGGGTGTTGAGGTTATATTGTCAACGGGGCCTTTGTCGCCCTCTGGAGAGCATTGTAGACATGGCAAATGGACATCATGTCCGGTCGCAGTGGGAAAAGAGACGCGAGAATTGAGTGCGTTGGACAGTTGCTTCTGCGAGGAGTCTCCAGTATCCGGGACAGGTGAGGCCAAAGAGCACACCAACCAGATACCGGGGAAGAGGAAAGCGCGAAGGTGCATGGGGGAAAGAGACAAATCAATATACAGTGTTGAAGGTCTGAAACAGTGAACGAGCGACGTGGGGTTAATGCCAGACTTGTATGTACGGAGCGAAGTTGTCAGTGGATATTCTCATCAAATCATGAAAACAAGACTCGAACTAGCGAGATTAAAAGATATCAATCTCTTGGTCTGGGCTGTCATACAGTGATCAAGGGTGCAGAATTGCAGATACAGTAGACGGGAAAGGGTGGATATGGCTGTAAGGTAATAGGCAGCCATGTAACAAGTCCAGCCCTATAAGGGGAGAGCCTCCTGAGACGGTCCGTTTCCGCGGACCCCGAAGGGCAACGGTAGGGCTGACCGCGTCACCGCACCATTATCTGTCGTTTCTGACTCCTCTGCATGATAAATCTTCCACGCTGAAAAGAGATGCTTTCATAGATATCCCGTACGGGAGCCCCACGGAACACTGCTAAATGCTTGAATAGACTGTTGCAGTGGTCTCAATCTTGAAGATCGATCCCGTTGGCAGGCCCAGCATTTCGCCCGGAACACTTCCGACGCCCGACCCATAGTTGGCCCCATCGTGAAAAAGTCGCATGACTACGTTTCTAGTCCTGTCCGGTGGTCCTGCAAAGGTAAAAACGATCTGATCAAGGAAGACGCGTGGTAGTCAACGTGTCTAGAAGCTTGGAGACTCCGACCACGGTTCCAAACCTGTATTCACAGGCGCTAGCTAAAGTGATCCGACTTTATGAGCAAGCAGCCTAGCATACAGCTTACTATGCCTTAGTGCACTTGCTGTAACACCTTGACCCAGATGAATCTGTGGATTGAGGTATAATCCAGTGTCAATTGTGCGATCCTACAGCGACAATAAGTCGATGGGCCTCTGCTGAGCTCGTACGAAGAAATCTTAACCCAAACTTTAAGAATTGGATACCCAGTCAGAGCAGTGAGACTTGGGATATGCAGAGTCTGGTCAGGGAATACCGTTCGACCCTTCATCGTGATCGAACTGTGAATTGATCTCCAACCTTCCTGTGGCTGGTACGCCTTGAAACAAGACAGCTCCCTGTGTCACATATTGAATATTAGCGCATTATATGAAAAGGGACTAGCTTAGGCAGCAAGCTCACATAGGTGATCCGTGCTTTTTGGCTAGCTATCATCTTTGTCGGCTAGCATAACCTCAGGATGGGGATATGTCTTAGGACGGGAAACTAAGACAGAATGTCTTAGACCGCGCAATTTGAGGCCAGCTCACTATTTGCCAATTTCATCTCCGTAGCAAAGTGTCTCTTTCCGACTTGAAATGCTACACCCTCATCCCTCAACTCCTTAGACCAGAACTAGATCGATGTGGCTAGCTGTGTTCACAAGAAGGGACAATGAGAATGCACCAAGTGATATTTGACGTAAGCAAGAGGATGGCACTCAATGAGACAGTGAGTAGTGCTAATCTCTATTTCCTCATGAGTCTGTGAGGTGATGCTTAGCCAGTACATAAAGATGACATCTTTAGACACTACTCTACTTGAACCATGCTCTCTGCCGCCGCAAGAAGCCGAAAGTGTTTCATAAATCATTACCTTTAATCCTTGTTAAGAAGTGAAAATAGCTGCATAAGCCAGGCGGAAGCGATTTTCAGTGACGGTGATAGGAACAGAATATGAATACATCGTACCGGTGAATGTACATCCACAGCGTTGCAGCAAATTGCCGTTCCGCGCTGTTCCACGCCACAGCGCTCCATGCTAGGCTCCTACGAAACTGAGACATCGACGATGCAATGTAACCTCAACCTTGTGACAGGAAACTGCGTCGGTGCTCTTCAAATCGAGGTGGACTCCCGTGGGCTGGCTGGTATCATGGCCGGCCATGGACACGGCTTGATGTGCTCGGAGTCTCGAGAATCTAATACAGTTGGTTGCCATCTGGTCGAGTAGCAGAGCATTGTTGGCGCCTAGAGTCAGGAGGCAGCAAATCGCCCGCTTGTCAATCTTTTGGGCGTAACGGTCGTTCAATGCCTGTCACCGTCTGATGCCTAGGGCATCTCATGACTCCACAATGAGATTTTACTCTGGAGCAGGCTCCTTCAGTGTCTTTTCGTATTCATTAGCGTATTAAGGGAAGCACTAGCCAGAATAGTAGCTCAAACTGGCAAAGTTATGCTGCATCGCTAGGTGAGTCATCTCTTATGGTTTGCATCGATAGCGAAAGGCTCAAGGCATCAATTTGATGTGTTTTTGTGCCCTGGACATGGAGTTAAGCAGCCCAAGGAAGTCAAACGCGCGCCTCTCTTATCTGAGCGCCTTGATATTTTTCCAGGTACTTCTCTTGCTGTGTGCCATTTGAGCAAGATCTTGACTGGCAAGCGAGGAGAACTATCTGTCAAGCAAACAGCCACTGCATGTAGTCTTCGATTTGAACTCATCCTGCGACTCCTGTTTGGGTATCGTAGGCCAGTCGCCCCCGGAGCTGTGTGCTACTGCCACACCATTCGGTTGCACATCTGCTAGAAATCTGCTGACTGTGACACGGTGCAACATACTCATGCTCAGAGATGGATTATGGCTTATTGATAAGTCTTGTGAGGTGATGTTGTATATGCTTCTTATGTGTTGAGTTTACCATAACTTAACACATTGACATGACGCCAGTGAGCCCTGCGTTTAGAAAGCCTCTAGGAACTTGCAAACTCGATATACCATTCTATTCTATCGGCATGAACATCGAACCTCGACAACTCCTATATTACCGACATTTGCCTTCCTCTCCAGCTCTGTGGTTCTACTTCGCCTGCCGCCCCTTCTCAGGATTCGCCAAAATCTCCGCCTTCCACCGCGGATCCTCCGACTCCTTCACGGGCGCCCAACCTAGTTGAATCTTCCAAACCAAACGATCAGCACACTTGTACACATCAATGCAATCACGACGGAAGTACAAAGACGCACCTGCATAACCTTCTGATCCCAATCCTTGGTGAAGCTCTTCACCTTCCCGTCGCTGATCTCGAAGATGGCCGCCGCGCTCCACTGCGCCCGCTTGGGGGGATCGGACCTCTCAATCCCCTTGTACGGCGCCCCGGCATGCGACCCCTCGGCGGTGTACCGCAGGAGGACGTGACCGTCCTTGGCCCAGGCCTGGTCGTACCGCACGATGTGCAGGTCGTTGACCGACTTCATGACGGTGGCGTGAGAGTTGGCGTAGTCCATCGGGGTCGAGCAGCCCGGGAAGGTGGACGGGCTCCAGAACCAGCTGTCTGGGTGGCAGAGGTGGCGGACGGACTCGGCGCCGCGGTTCTCGGTCGGGGAGTAGGCGATGGCCATGTATTGTTTTGCGGTGGTGATGTTGCGCTGGAGTGTGGGTGTTGGGTGATTATGGTTAGTTGGGCTCTTGCACGGTGTTGTTGTGCTGGATTGTGTTGCTTGTGAGGATCGGAGACGAATGGGCGGGACTATACCTCTTCTTCGGGGGTTTGCGAGGCGGAGATTATGGTTGGCGGTGCTTGAGCGCTTGGAGACATGGTGGTTGTCTTGGAATGTACCTCAATTGTTGAGAGGTTGGGCAGGGACGAGTCAGGAGATGTGAGGTTTTGTCCGCAATCATAGAACGGGGCGGGAGGTCCCGGAGTCATTATGACGTGCATGATGGTATCTCGACGACAGGTTTGTTGAACCACAATACTTCCATGTGAGCCAATGATGGCTTATCAATATCAGGTTCTGTACTATCTTGGCCGTTTCGCTATCCGGTTCTTGTAGCTTGCGACTTGACTGTGGAGTCGAGGGGTCCCTGGTCCTCGTGCCGAGTTGAGCATGTCGATGCTTGTTCACATAATGCTGCAGTCTATAATGAAAAGTGCCTTGTTTATCGACCTCTATTATCGTAAAACTAAGGTCATACCCCACTGACTCAGTCGTTAACTGTCAAACGGCGGGGAGAATGGAAAATGTGGGGGCTTTGCCGGGCAGCCTCGCGGCATCAACCTACCTAACATCTTTATCATCCATCTTTAACACAATTCCACATGGAAGTCCTGGAATTAGATTTAGAGCTTAGCTGAGAATAGCTGTCTTGCGGATCTGCCTACTATATCAAGCGCTGTGCTGCCGATTGATTCATTCTTTCAGTCGTTCATGCTTCTATTGTGTTTCGTATGTGTAGTGTCGAAACAGGCCTGCGCACACTAAACCACTTTCAGTAGTGCGGGGTAATGGTCCCTGAAAGCCCAAACAAACAACACAACTCCGAATTTCCAACCGACTTTTTGTACGTATCCTCGCTAGTGCTCCGGTAACTTAACGGAATGTTGGCTGACTTGTTGCAACCACTCCGAAATGAGCTTGGAGCTTTGATGAGGAAGAAGCCGCACCACTCGCCCCCCCAGTAGATCAATTGCATGCCTCCAGCGGATTCTTCTCTCAGGCTCACTTTGGACTTCCCCTACGGATCATGTGGTTGTCTCTATGACGACTCTGGGGATCGCTTTCAGCGTATCAAAAGTCGCCATGCGCATACTGTGTACACACAGCAAGCCAAGGGACAAATAAGATTCCAGCATTAGGGCACGGGTGATATGGCACAGAGACAAGCCTTGCGCCCGGCCGGACTGCCAGCAAAGAAGGACTATCGAGGCTAGCAGGGGCATGGCAAACGCTCCACGTCTTCAGAAGCCCCTTTTTCGTAAGCAAACCTCTTTCTGATACACAGCTCATCTGGATTATGTATGGTCAAGATGATGAGAAGCCACCGCATGCCCGAACAAAAGACCGCAACTTCCTCCCTGGCTTGGCAGAGGTAGCCGTGCCCGGTTGATCATTTACAACTGCGGCCTCTGTGGCTGTTGCACCCAAAAGAAAGATCGGAAATGAGATTCCCCGTAGGAGCAGAACGCATGATCGGAGACGATGCAGGGAGTCATACCATCTCCGATGACCCCTCCATGCATTACGTTAGTGCAGATCATCGGCGGTAATACTAATACCGGTGAGCGCAAGCATGCTCCTGCCCCGCAACTTTCCTCCATCAACAAACATCGCACCATCACCACCACAACTAGCACATCCAACAGCTACTACACAAGAACCATGGCGCCTCGGAAAGCTCTCTTCGTCATTGACATCCAGAAAGAGCTGGCCGTCGATCCCACAACCCGAGTCCCGCATGCGGACCGAGTCATCGCGTCCGCCGAGGGAACCCTCAACGCCGTCCGCTCGGTCATCGATTCCTACCGCGAGAAGAACCAACCATCCCCATGGGCGATCTACTTCATTCAGCACGAGGAGACCTCTGCGAGTGGGACACTGCTGAGAGGCAGCGAGCCCTGGGAACTGGTGTTCACCCCGCGGGTAGATGTGGAGGAGGAAACCGTGGTCGCGAAGAAGACTGGTCAGTATCTGATGACTTGCGGAGCTTGATGGCACTGATGCTGACATCCGGATACTAATTCCAGGCAACACGTTCGAGTCGAATCCGACCCTCTCAACGCACCTCCGCAATGCCGACATCAACGAGATAGTGGCCGTGGGTCTGCAAAGTGAAAAGTGCGTCGAAGCGACCTGCAAGGGGGCGTTGGCGGCGGGGTTCCGCGTGACTCTCCTTGCTGGTGCGCACTCAACGTACGACTCGGATGGGAAGACTGCGACAGAGCTCGAGCGCGAGGTGGAGCGGCGTCTGTCGACTCGTGGGGCTCGTGTCTTGCGATGGGAAGAGGCGGCTTCGCAGTGGGTTCAGGAGCAGCATAAATAGATTGTCTGTGAGCCTGAGTTACTTTGGCATTGTTTTCCAACATTCTCTACTAGTTTGGAGTCTTGACCTAGCATCTGCTTTAATGGAATGTGACACAAGTCAGACACAAGGGACAATCGAGACTGAAGGTGCCGATCTTGGGTGAGAATGCACCAAGGAGTTCCCGGGGAGTATATCGAGATGATGGATCATGGTGAGAACAGAGACGGAAGCAGGGGAGATCCGAAGCAAGGAATCCAAGAAAGACGCAGACATGTACTCTGCTGTACACTAGCTTTGCTCTCTCTCACAAACACGACCAAGGTAGAAGATTACTGCCTGCAATCAAAGTATTCCCCATTTGACTTTGCATTTGCCTTGATGAGTCAGCCGCATATTGTTGACGTCCGCGAATTTGTGACTCCGACACCTTACTCAATAGAGCAGGTTCTCCGGTGGCAGACTTGCCGAAAACGAATCCTCGACGCCGCAACAACTTGACGCTGCAAATTAACCAGCTGATTCCGATTCCACACCTCCATTACGCACCACGAGAACTATACCCAAGATAGGCAAGTTGCACGTATCGCCGGCGTGTCATAGTGCATAGATGTGTGTCACTGGATGCAGGGTTCTAACAGGAAAGTTCCGAGCGCGTGCCAGCGTTGTCGACGCCAGAAGCTCAAGGTACACCCCCCGGTCGGAAACCCCCGTCTCCTGTGCACTGTATTAATGGACTTCGAAGTGTGATGTTCAGCGACCATGTACTCTTTGCCTCAGGGCTGGGGCGCACTGTACACCAGGGCCGACTAGTCGCTGGAGGCCCTATCAGCCTGTAGCTGCCCATCCAGCCCCCGAACGCCTCCCCGTGCAGCAACACTCTCGCCAAGAAGTCGACCCAGTTACTGCGCAAAAGACAGATGACGTCTCGGAAGCCGAAAGAGTATCAGCGACAGATGATTGCTGGCAATCAAGCTCGATGCTATCTCTAGTCGATGGGGTAGGTTTCTGTCTGGTATGGAAACGAGAGCCCAGGCTCAAGTGTCTAGGCATTTCGATTGCACAACACCCACGCGCCACCAGATCGCACAACAACTGCTATCCCAGGAGGCCATGTACAACAGGCTAGCCCGTTAGCTCCCAGCACTGAAGAGGGCCCATCACATTCACAAAGCAAGGAATCTTTTCTGTCCACGCGACAATACGTCCACAACGGGTGGTCTTTGCCTGCCACCGAGCTTGTATCATTAATGCCCCAATTTGAAGCTGCTAGTTTGCTCGTCGACACGTACTTCGACCGCGCTCACTGGTTCATGTTGATCTTCCAACAAGATGACTTCCGGCAGCGATGGCCGAAGCTATATCCACCACACTCAGGCCGACCAGGAGATCATACCAATGCCGCGTTCTTGTCCACCTTTCTTGTGGTTATCGCAATCGGGATTCATTATGTGGGCCCATATCGGCAATCACTACTAGCCAGACACGGCGTCGATTCAAGTCTGAAGGATCGTATCCTATCCTGTGTAAGGGCCAAACTCTTGGATGTGATGTCACTCGGTTCGCTGGAAGCAGCGCAGACCTGCGTGCTGCTAGGAACGTACTATTTATACCATGGTTCTCCTCGCCTGGCATGGCCTGTGTGCGGCTGCGGACTCCGCATTGCACAGGCCTTGCACCTGCACCGCCGATTACGGCCTTCGGATTCCCCTGATTTTCGCCAGCAGTATGAAACACGGAAGCGGTGTTGGTGGGCTATCTATGAGATTGAGACCTTTTCTGCCGTGGTATACGGCTATCCTCACAGTATCTGGAATGCCGATTGCGACGTAGAGCCCTTGGACCCGTCAGCCAAGCTGCAGGCCATGCAAAGTCCGAGAACACCCAGCGAACCCCAGGCGCGCAAAACGACATTGCTGTCCTACAAATGCCTCATGTCTGAGCTTTCAGTGGTAACGAAGGAAGCACTGGGCGAGTTGTATCGCACCAAGACCTTTCTAGTAGAAGAAGGAAAGCCGTCTCGCCCACGAAGGGACTTACAGGATACCCTGCAAGCAGTGGCTAAGTACAACAGCCGCTTACAGCAGTGGCAAGCCAAGCTTCCCCTCGAACTTCAATGGGATCGAATTTCCGACCAGGCGAATTACTCGACCCCAGAGGAAATAGATTGCGATATTGGAGCGACGGGGCCACGCTTTGAGAGCCACATATACCAGCTCCAGGCTATAGCTCTGATGCTGGCGTACGAGAATGCCATGATTCTGACGCATAGGCCTCTTCTGTCTTACAAGCTGCGGAGCAGCACGGAGCCTGAGGCTCTCCCTACCAGCTCGGACCGAGCTGATCAGCCAAGGCCTAACCCATTCGTCTCGTCACTAGAGGCCTGTCGCACTGCAGCGCTGAGGATGGCCTCTATCCAGTCAAGCCCAGTTCTCAAGCTTGTCGCCGAGACCTACGCCGTGACCTTCGTCAGTATACATACCTTTACCGCGGGAGTCACCTTGGGTATTCTGTGTAGCATGGATCCCTTGAACCAGCAGTCCAGTGCTTCCAAGCAAGCCCTGCAGAATGTAATGGAGATACAGGAGACGCTCAAGTCGCGCTCGGTGGTGGCGGAGCAAGGACTAGACATCCTCCAGCGACTGACCAAGCTTGTAATGCAGAGGGAGCTGGACGTGCTGCTGGGTAAGGCTAAACGCACGACTACGCAATCGAACAGCCCTAGTAGACCATCTAGTCAAGGTTTGTCAGACGAGCGACAAGGGCTCTCCAGGGACGTGGCATCTCAAGTCCCTACTTCCGGGGGCCTAGCGACCCTTAACCGGGGTGCGTCCAGCGCCCTGCCGGGCCCAGATGACATTTTTTACATCAACGATCCTGCGATGACGGATGCACTGCTCGATTTCGACCAAGGTTGTATTTCTCATTCCCATATCATTTCCTAAGCTAACACACAATTCAGCGTTGCTATCCTATGCACCTCAACCTTTCGGAGAACATGAAGAGACGGCAGAGAACCCGAATCTGTGGCCGCCAACCCTGGACGGCTTTCCGATCCTTGAACAGACGTGGCTATGGGATCTCGACAACGATCCTTTTTTCAACGCTGACCTCGGGGATTGACCGTGAATTGCTTTCGGCTAGATCCAGAATACATGTATGCTCAAGTCTTGAAGCATCAGCACCGAACCTAATAGCCCCCTGTGGTCACCTCCTCCGCCATCGGCTTGAACGCCACCTCCACAGGCTCATTCCCAATCCCACGCTTCCTGGCCTCCTCCAGAATCGCAACCGTCGCCGTGGCCCCAATACGTGTCACGCCCAAGCTCATCACATGCAGTAGATCGTCCAGCGTCCGCACACCCCCGGCAGCCTTGATCTGCACCTTCTGGGCGGACTTCTCCCGCATCAACTTCAGATGCCCGACGGTCGCACCCTTGTAGTTATACGAGCCATTCCTCTGCTTGACGAACCCATACCCGGTTGATGTCTTGACAAACGCCACCTCCAGCTGCGAGCAGATCTCACACAGCCGGGCAATGTGCTCGGGCTGCAGGTAATCGTTCTCGAAGATGACCTTGAGGGTAGCCCCGTTTGCGACGACCGCGGCATTAATCCGGCGGATTTCGTCCGTGACATACGCCCAGTCGCCGCCGAGGACCTTGCCGACGTTGACGACCATGTCGATCTCGGCGCCGCCCGCCTGGGCCGCAGCAGTGGCCTCGAGGACTTTGATCTCGGTGCTGCTGTTGCCGTGCGGGAACCCGATGACCGGGCAGATGAGAACGTCCGACCCGGCGAGCTCCTGTTGGGCGAGCGGGATCGCGTAGGGCTTGACGCAGGCGGTGGCGACGCGGTGGTCGCGGGCGATCTGCAGGCCGGCGCGAATGTCGGCGTCGGTCATGGTCGGGTGCAGGAGGGAGTGGTCGATCATTTTGGCCAGCTGGGGCAGGGTGACGGTGATTGTATTGGGCATGTTGACCGTTGTGGAGGTTGTTTCTTTTCAAGTCGAGTAAGAGCTAGGTTTGAAGTGATGGAGTTGTGATGGGATTTGTTTGGGGATGTCGTGCACAGTTGGGGGTGTTTTAAATCCATGCTGCAGATATAAGGTCAAAAGGTCAGAGCGTCTTCCGGTGGAGGACCTTCCGTATCCGGTAATTCCTTCCACCGGGGCAGTTCTCAGGTTGTCTGCTGTTGCATTGGTCAAGCTACGAAGATATCGATCTCCCCTATATGACACGGTTCTATTCCAGCACAGTCGGTAGTACATATCCTTTTCAGTTGCAAAACATAACACACGGGGGGAAAGCACCCTTGCAGACTGCCCGATAGCAGACCCGACAACCCGAACCCCCGATCGAGGCCTCAAGCGACTTGCCCCACGGGGAGGGCGATTAGGGCTCGGCACACATCCCGCTAGCACTGCCGATCAGCCCAGCATATGGTATATTATCAAAGTGAATATGCTGTACAGTATACACATACACTACCAGCCATTCTGACGCGAAGAGAATCATGACAAATCGCCAATCGGCGGTCTGTCTGCCAATCTCGATCTCAACCATAAGAGCCAGACTTCGCCAGGTGAATAATCACCCCCACGCCGATTAAATCCGACTCTGGTCGTCTCCACGTCCCAATGCGGAGCACTGCGCAGGACGCCCTTTGTAAGCATTCCAAATTGCGGATTGAACGCCAGTGCCTGAGGACTAACAAAGGCCTGGACCACAGCCCCGGATTTCCCGCAGGATGGGAAAGCAGGGGGCGTTGGCTGTACCCATGGTCATCCCCGGTCATGACATCACGACTGCCGGCCAAGCTCAATCAGCCTATTGTCCCACGTTTTGTGGCCGGCGGAAGTATCATTCCCGGAGGTATCGAGCTGCAGCACAACAAAACCAAGCCTCTGCCACCCACACATCCTGGCTTGTTTACGTCTTTCCTCATCCCTGCAAGACACACTCCCGCGGGACAACCAACATGCGAAGATGTCGACCGAAAACATAATCCCGCGACGATCGAATGCCCACGAAAAACCAGCGGAGGAGTCCGACGGCCTGTACGAGGCGTACGAGATCGAGCTCCAGAACTCGGCGGGCGGCACCATCCGCTTTGGGGATCTGGTCGCTGGCAAGGGGTCGAATATCACGACTCTGGTGATTTTCAGTGCGTTGCTGCCCTTCGCCTACCCCTGGTCTGAGCATAGTCCTATACCCCGGCTCGCACTCTCAACCCTGCCCCCCTCTCTCCCTCCCCACCACTCATGTCTATTCGACGGGATAGTAAGACACTTCTTCTGCATCTACGACCAATCTTACGTCCGCACCGTCTCCCACCACCTCAGCGACAGCATCCTCGCCAGCCTCCCCGAGAACCCCGACACCGGCCCCTGCCAGGTCCTCATCATCGGCTGCGGCGACCCCGCCCGCATCGTCCCCTACGTCGCCGAGACCGCCGCCCGCTTTCCGGTGTATACCGACCCCACCGGCCGCATCTACTCGGAGCTTCGCATGAAGCGCACCGTCCACGGCATCACGCGCCCGCCCGTCTACACCGAGGTTTCGTTCGTGCGGGCGCTGGGCCGTACCCTCAAGCAGATGTTCTCGGCGGGTGGGTGGCTTCGGGCGTTCCGGGGCGGGCCGTGGAATGTGAATGGTGGGGAGTGGGTTTTTCGGGGTGGGAGGTGCGTATATGTGCATCGGATGGAGCGTGTAGGCGATCATTTGACGGCGGGGCAGTTGTTGGAGGTTTTGGGAGAGGGGCCGGGGCAGGTTCTGGAGCGGGGTGGCGGCGTCGGGGGGGAGGTGGGTGGGAAGGAGTGATGTTTTTTCCCTCTGGATTGGGGTGGGGAGAGAATAGTGGTATCGTGGACTGGAGTTGATGGGGCTATATAGTTGGGCTCTACATTTGGTGTTTGTTGGGCTGGGTTGGGAAGGTTGTATACCCCTTACTATGTCATGTCTTGAATCTTGCGGCACCGCATCACTGGTTTGTTGGACTAAACGTATAGAACATGTGGCAGGAAGTCTCTGTATTGGCTTTGACCTACACTCACGTTTCCGTACAACCCCTCAGGAAATCATGACATCGTTCGAGATAAAATATGCATGCTTAGATCAAAGACGACCACCCGCTAAGACCGACAGAGAGAATAGGCTCTGATGAGAGCTACCCGCTAGAGGCGAAAGGGCACTGGAAACAGCGGCCATCCTATACACCCACCTCAAGCAGCATCCCCTCTATCTCTCCACAGCAACCACCGATTTGATGATAAGGGGCAGGCGGCTGAAAATCCTCTTCCACACTTCTTGCTGATAATCCTGTCCTCCGGTATCCTCATTGAGCAGTGTGTTCCGAACTGACCAGATCTGATCTAGGTCCGCATTGAAGCGACCACCCTGATATGGTCCGTCTTTGAAGTGTCTGTATAGACCGCCCCACGCCGTGGTTCTGTCCTGCCGGGTCTTAGCGCGCCGCAGCTGGTCGAGCGATTCGTCTACAAGACTGTCTACGGCATGCCACCGTCGAGACGTGTCGTGAACCGGGAGCCAAATGATGCGTTTCATCTCCTTCGGGCACGCCACCTCCCACGTTCGAAACACGACGTCGATGTCGGGGAATCGCTGCAGCGGGTCCTCCGGGCTGTTGCTCACAATGGAGACCTCCACGCACTCGGGATGGACACCGGACCACCTCCAACTCGGGCACACGTGCTCCGCACTCTTTTTGTGGAGTAGGCCACAGGGGAAGGCGAGGCGGGTGAGCGGGGTCGCATGCTTCACGATTAGGGGGTGGCCGGGACGGCGATGCGCGGGCCACAAGTGCGCCAGCTGCTGGTCCACTCCCGCCTTCAACATCAGGTTGCGGATCCGCCGCGCGTTGGGGAAGAAGTTGAACCATTGACGGTACGGGATATAGACGGTGTCACGGGCTGGGTCGAACGGCCGCACGACGGAGAAGCGGCGCGTCTTCTTGTGGTAGCGAATCTGGAGGCGAGGCTGTTGCTTTTCCAGCCAGCGCAGCCCGACCCATCGGGCCTCGTGGTTGATGAATAAGTGTGGCAGGTAGATTTCATAGCAGTCTAGCGGGCGCGGGTCGAACTCGATGTGAAGCGTGTCTCTATTCTCGCCCGCAGCGTCCTCGGTCTGGTCCCGGTGCGCCTTCCAGCAGTCGTATCGCCAGATGTACAGCGGGTCGACGATCGGATCGGGCAGTGCGGCCTCCCAGATCATTAGGCGGAGCTCGGGAGGAAGGCGTGAGAGAGGCGGATTCGATGTTGATTCTGGCATGGTTTCTGGACTGGTGACGAAGGTGGCAGTGTGACAGCTGAGGTGAAGGTACTTGGCTGCGTCAAGATGACGGAGGACAGATCATGGATGGATGTAGATAGATGAAGACGGATAGATGGAGGTTGAGAGAGCGCTGAACAAAGTGGGGTGGAGCTGGATGAAGCTGAAGAAGATGAAGATGGGTGGAGATGGATGAAGATGGGTGGAGATGGACAGAGGAAGATGAAGTGTGAAAGGGAAAAGGAAGTCCGCCAGATCAGGGTTCTGTTGCTTAATAGGATGGGAAGAAGAGCTGCAGTGAATGAAGAATGAAGGCTTGAGTAACACATGACATGGTCTGGAAGAACGTCAGCATAACATATATGTATGTCTCATTCTATGGTATGTACATGCAAGAAGTATCCCAAGTCCCTATGCGAGTGACACGCGAACATCAGCACACTTTCCACCCGCAACTGCAACCTCCAGTGTCCCATTGCCGCTACTCTTCGTCTTTCCATCGACTGTGTACGAGTCAACAGCAAGTGGCAGTTTAACGACGCCCGTCGTCCTCTTCGGCCCACAAACCTGCAGCTGCAGGCTCGTCCTGTCAGCACCACCCAGCCGCCAGCTGGCCTGGATCGGTCCTCGAGGGGTGGGGACGCGACCCCGGGCCCACGAGACATCCACATCCAGAATTGCAGGCTGAAACACCCACGTATCGAACCCAGGGGATGTCGACTGAACGCCAAGAACATACTCCGACAAGACGTAGGTCGGAGCGCCGCCCCAGGGATGGGCATGGGAGGTATACAAGTCCAGACCGGGCCGACCATCAGGATACAGATATTCCCACGAGGTCCCTGTGTAGTACTCATCTTGAGTGACCATTGCGGCCCACAATTGGTCCAGCAGCACGCTGATAGCAGTGGTGCGCTCCGTCGATGCATTCGCGCTATTGTGACTGGCTTGGAACAGCGCCTCGAGCAGGAAACCTGACAGGAACGGTGCAAGGTTGGTGCTCGAGGAGTTTGCGGCCGAGGTAGAACTCTTGTACCCGATACCTAGACGCAAAGATGCAAGCGCTGCAATCGTAGACTGGGACTGGGTCGCGTTGGCGATGCCGGACAGAATCGCCCATGCGCTGCCTGCAATCGCCTGTTCGTCCAGAGTGCCGATGTCTACGCCGTATATTCCCAGTACTGGGTTCCAGAGATGCTGGTTGACAGCTTGTTTGATGGTTTGAGCAGACCGACTCCACGAGCTAGCCGATTCGGTTGCATTCACAGCAGTTGCGAGGTCGGCCATCTCGCTCAGAGCATGAGCGAGCAGAGCCGATGCCGCAGTCCCATTGCTCGACCCCAAGAAGAACGCCCCGATATTGTCAGTAACTGCAAGACCAGTCTGCTCGTCGACGAGCCGCAGTACCGCTTCCACTCCTTTTTCAACCTTCGACCAATATTTCTGGAGAAAGGCTCGGTCGCCGGAATTCTTGTAGTAGCCAGCCACTGCCTCCAACGTGAAGAACTGGTAGTCGAGCAGGCCAAAGGAGCTGTAAATGTCAGTGTACTTGGCCGACTGGCCCATCTGCGGCGACATGCTGAAGAGCCCCTCGTACACCGAGGAGTTGCCGGCCTGGCGGTCGATCAGGTACTCCAAAGTCCCCAAGATGAAGTCATTGCGATAGGTGCTGGCTTGGATGATCCGGTAGGTGTGGAAGAAGTCGCCCGACCACACGAGTCGGTCGCGTTTCGCACCATCCAAGCAGACAGCGTGGGTATTAGGCAGGACGCCATATTCTTCCAGCACTGCATCCGAGGTCATTGGGTTTTGGTAGAGCAGGGTGCCGTTTTGAGCGTGTACCTCCACATCCCTGATCAATGCCACTTGGTCCTGATATGGGCCAAATCCCCACGTGCCACCCGTTAAACTGCCTGACCCGCCGATTGTGCCAGCCGGGGTCTGTAGATCGGCTAAGGGCACAAAGACTTCGGTTTCGTTGACTGTCACCCCGTATCCTGTGGCATTGATAAAGGTCGCGATGTGGTACCATTGATCTTCTTTGACACCAAATGGCAGCGGGTAGTAATTGACCTTTCCTGAGGTCAGGGAGGTCTGATTGACCAGGTTCCATCCATAACCCACCGCCAGGGTATTGGACGGCACGACCGTTCTGTTGACGTTGACGAATGTTGACTCGGGAGGATATTCACTGGTGAGGACGAAGTAGGCGCCGTATCCGCCCACGCCGGCGGCCACTTTCCAGCCAGTCCCTCCCCGCACAATCTTCGTATCGAATGTCAGGGTGTAATTGTCGAATGACACTCCCTTGACCGACTGGGCAGGTTGCTGTCCTCGCAGATACATTCCGTTCTCGGTGACCTCCCACGTAGAAGGTGCTGCACCCGCTGCGATGCATGCTTGCTGCACCGTCCGCGCCCCCAGGGCCCAGATCTTGTTGTAGAGACTGCTCGATGATTCGAAAAAGCCCGGAAGCCGGTCAACGGGCGTCCGATCATTTTCAGACCTCAAACCAACATCGCAGATTCGAATGCTGCCGTCCGTCAGCAGCTTCAGGCTCTGCCAACGCTGACCCCCCTGGATGAAAAACGACTCGACACGCCCGGTGGACGTGACGTTGAAGGTCTCGACGCGGAAGGTGTTGGAGAGACCATTGGCAAAGTCAAACGGGCCGTCTGCAAATGGCTCGTCTAGCCCGGTATAGGGCTCGCTATACTTGGCCTCGATCTGAACAGGGGTTGAAAGCGTTTCGACCTCCAAGTAGGGAAAGCCTGCAGCTTCGGTGCCGTAATCTAAGGTGACTACTGGGGTTTGCGAGTCGAGGGTAAAGCAGGCGGATTGCGTGTCGCTTGTATAACTCCGGAAACTAACATTGGTCCGATAGCGCGTAGGACGTACAAGCGTCTCACTAATGCTGCAGGGTTAGCTTGTGAATTCGATGCTCTGATTTGCGCCAATTGGGAATACCTGTGAGCATGAACCAGGGGCGTCAGCGCCAGACAACCCCAGAGCACGGGTGCGATTGATGCAAGGGTTGATGGCATGATATCCCTTCCGCCACTGAGCCCTGTCTATACATGGAATTGGGTCACGAGAAGAGATCTCGGAGTGGATTATAAGAAGCTCCTGTCGGGAGCTGTGGTGGGCCTCAATTTGATACCGAGGCCGGGGGTGTTTTTGTGGGGGAAAGGCGGGGTATCCCGCCCCGAATCCCGCGCTGGCCGGGTTAATTGCCCCCGACAGGGACGCAGTCAGGGTCATATATACGGGTTTGGCAGTCTTCATGCTGAGATAGTTCCAGCATACCAGAAATCCTCGCGGTTTCGAGTGTTGGGAACGACACACGGGTAACCATGTATCCTTCAGCTTCAGCGTTTTCTTCTCAGTGTAGTAGGAGGTGAATACCAATCCTTCCGTGCTTCTCACAGAAAGTTCTTCAAGCCGGACCATGGTATCTCGGGAATTCATTCACTACTCCCTGTCCAGGCTGCCTTATCTTTGTTCTTTCTCTTCAAATGACAAGTCCAGGATGCCATCTGTGATATTTGACCACTTCACTTCTTCTTACCTCCCACTTCCCACCCATCCTTGACAGTTGACACGCATCTGAGCTCAAGCCATCACCATAACCTTTGCCATCCATCCACCCATCCATCCAACCAACTTCACCTTCAGTTCCTTTCTCCCTGCCAAATCTCTCATTAACAAAACTTCGGCCTCTGCCTCACTCAGCCAGAACGAAAATCGACCGAGCAGGGAACACAAAACGTGGAGGCCGCAGCACATCTGCCTGCGGGCACCGAGTCGAACCATACAACGTCCCAGCCATCTCAGCCATCTCAGCCATCAAACACGACCGATACCACCCCCTTCCCCCCCCGGCTCATCTCCGATATCAAAGGCCTTCTCACCCAGATTGAAGAGCAGCACCACTCCAGCCAACCCACAGCCCAGAGCTGGGTGACGACCGCCGGCGACGCGGCTCAGAACGATTCCGACCGCCGACAGTTCACCCACCAGGCCAAGATGCAGGCCGGCATGTCCAGCTCAAGGGTATCATGCTGGAGATCATGGGATCACTGGCTCGGTTGGAGCAGTTGAGGGAGGAGCTGGATGAGGCGACGTTGGAGGCTGCGAGGGGTTCCAATAATGCATTGTAGAGGGCGACGCGGCTGGCGGTGGAAGTGATGGTCGAGGCGCACCAGGGAGATATGGAGGGGTGTGCGGTAGTCGGGAAGGAGTTGGACGGGTTGGATGACGTTCATGATCCCAAGGATGCTGCGGATGTTGGGTGATAGCTTCTGGGTTTTCTGGGTTTTGTTAATTGAAGTGACGCGCCGAAGGGATGTGATGTCGGGCCGGGGGGCATCATTTTTGAGGTGTAATCTGTCCCACGTTGCTATTCTTGAGACTCCACCATGTGCTGTGCAGAACTAGGTAGTCCTGGGCATCTGTCAAATGCGGAAACAGTAAAGACCTTCTCAGACTACTGAAAGGGACGTCTGTAAGGATTATGTTATGGATACTGGGGCATCCGAAGTTATGAGACAACGGTATCAGTCATAAGCTCTAAATTCAACGTTCTAAATAGATACAATCCAAAGCTACCTCCGCGTGCTTCACTGGAAGAACTCTTAGGAGAACAAAAAAAACCGCTCTATTATGGTCATTGCATGAGAATCGAACAGAAATAAGGAATGATCAACACTTGATGAAATTCCAGATGATATACATCCCAATGGAAGGCGACGTGCTGGAAAACACGACACAAACAGGATGATACAACCCCGCCGTCCCATCAGACGCTGGGATCAGTGTCGACAGACCACTGGCAGAAGGCACTGCCTCAAACCCCGCGGGAGGTAACTTAGCGACGAGACACGCAGCAGAGGATACCAGAGCGACCGAGGAAGTAAAGCGATCCAAGGAAGCGGAACAAGGAGAGACCCGCGGTAATCCAGAGGATAACTTCGAAGTACCAGGACGTGCGGGTGGTGGAGGTGTTCTATTCGACAACCAGGTCAGCAAACAGACAAGCAGCAAGGTCACGGGTAAAAACTTACGGTCAAACACATCTTGTCAACGCCAGTGCTGGTAATCAGCAGTGCCACGAGCAAGTTACTAAACACCCACAGGCAAACCAGCATAGTACGGAAGTTCTTGTAGGCGTCGTCCAGACTCTTGCCACTTTCTTCCTCGGGTTCGATCCACGGGGCCAGCGCACGCTTGACCGTCGATTCGAACTGGCTATCGATATCGGCTTGCGGTTTGTCAATTTCCTCAATGAAGTTCTGCTTGCCGTCATCGTCCTTCTTAGTTTGTACGGACGGCAGTGCTTCCGCTTTATCAGATCCCTTGGTACCCCAGGAAACGTCGTGCCAGTTGCAGAAGGCGTACACCATCAGAATGTTGATACCAGTGGTCATGCCCATGAAGTAAGCCCAGGAACTAGTCAGAATGTGCCAGGGGTCCATGTAGAGGACACTGGCAATGACGTAGATGCCATAGGTCGAGACGAGCGCAATCAAGACGATACCACCACCTGACGAACTAAAGAATGATTTTAAGAAGTCGGAGAGACTCTCGTTGATGTCGAGGTTGAACAGTCCGGAGCTGAATGCGTTGACGACCAGGTAGAACGACAAAATCAGGACATAGATCTGGACCAGCGAGAAGTACATGAATGAGAGGGTGTAGGGGACGACAGTTCTGGGTGAAATGTAAGCATCAATATCAAGTCGAAGAGGCGGGACAAGCACTTACCCTTTCGGCCGATTACCCAGAGCCAGAATGAACTGCAGCGCGAGAACCCAGAGGTAACCATATTTGATAAAGTTGTTGACGATAGGCGACGCTTCGTCCCCAAAAGGCCATCCCTTGTTGCCGTTGTGAGAGCTAGGTGTACCCACCAAGTCCATGATGACGGAGCTAGTCAACCAGTAGGAAGCTGTGACAATGTCAGTGTGAACAAACCGATGCAGGTCGAGGCCATTGGACAGGGCATACCGAGAGAGAACCAGGTCATGATGAGCTGAATGACGTTGTAGATCATTTGAAGGTGCAAGAAGAAGAGACGAATGATACTGTGACCACTGCGATAGATCCGACCAAAGTGCATAAGCGAATACAGACCAGCAGCAAACGAACCGTTCAGCCAACGTCTACGTTGACTGATAAACTCTGCCGCTCCTTCCGGAACGTCCGTCTCACCCTTAGATGCCTTCACGTAACTCAAATGCCACTTGAAACCAGCCTTGGCCACGAGTTCGAAGCAAAGAATACGATCCTCGGCCAAGAACATGTTCTTCTTGAAGATGTTCATGCCGTCAATACCCTTCTTACCAAGCCGTTTGGACAAGGTGTGATCTCCGTGGAAGTACTGCTCCAACGGTCGGCCCATGATTGCACGGTAGCGGTACGCAGAGAAGGCACCGGGCAAGACACTGACATAACCGAACGCGCTCTCGAGGGGTTTGTCCAGAATATTGGAGATCTTGTACTCAAAGTTCTGAGCAGCAACCAGGGGATTGAGGACTTTGCGCCATCCCTGACCCAACATGGCATGGATCTCACCACATGAACCACCGAGGGTCTTATCGTTGTAGAAGGCCTCCCATAGCGAGAGCAGCGACTTGTGACCCGGCTTAGTACCAGCGTCCAGCAAGATAACCACCTCGGGGTTGAGAATTCGACTGAAGGCATTGAACAGCCAGCGGTGAGAGTTGATCTTCTTGCTGTTCTTTTGCTTCAAACAAAAGATCATCTGCACGGGGGGCAAATTGGTCGACTCATTGCCCTGGGGACGGATCAGTTGTTGAGTGGGGGTGACAGACAGTTGGGTGGTGTATTCGAACTGTAGGTAATGATGATTGTCAGTCCTTCTTGCCTTGTTCACTCAGACCTGAGACGGCCGCCGGGTCCATCCGCCCGCCTTCCCGCCGGGCGGTTGCAAATCAGTTGACCAACTTACCACATGAGCGACGGTCTCCCGTCCGTCAACGTCCTTCTTCATCACTCCGTCCTGATAAATACCGATCGTTGCCAACACATCCAGCGTGTTCTTATCGCACGGATCGATACCATCGAAGACAAGACAGACCACAATCTTCTGCCACGCCGGTCCACCCTTGTTCCAGAACTCGGACTTCTTCAGGTTGACGATATCGCGAATATTCTGCATGACACCGTGCAGGGTACGCGCCGTCAGGACCTTGTCTTCGTTATAGTATGTGATGGCGATCAGCAGTTCGGTGTGCCGATTGTAGATCGCGGGCCGCAGGTTGTAACCATTCCGCAACGTGAACTCGTCAGGATCACACGTGGCCGCCGTGTCTAGAGTGATCTCGGTCAGCTCCCCCTTTCTTTACTCCCTCGTGTTCGGAGTGCACCTACAGCGCATGTGAGTGAACTCCTCCGCAAACGCCTCCTCCGCTTCTCGGTATTGGGGCTGGATCGCGTTCTGGATGGCACTCGGAACGGGGTAGTCGACACTCAGGACGGAACCCTGCACCAGGTTGATCTTTCTCGTTCCGAAGCGGCGGAGGGCGCCCGCGCGACTGCCGGCCTGGGAAGCTGGTTTTTCGGTGGTCGATCGAGCATCATAGATGTCACTCGACTCAGATTCTTGATAAGGGGGCGTCGCGAAGACCGTCGCGCCGGGGTCGTGCAGCGTGTACCGACGGAGGGAGTCGGTGGACATGGCGGGGTCCTCGAATGGACCGCCATAGTGGCTGGAGGGGTTGCGCTGCAGCAGGGACTGCTCCTGTTCCTCGTGCTCGTCGCTGTGGTAAGGTTGTTGCTGCTGGGGTTAGGCACAATGGACGGTCGCAATGGCTGGTGGGCCATGAATCTTTGCTAGTCACAGACAGAACACTCACATTGTGAGTAGGAGAAGCATGTGAGAAGTAACTGCTCTCACTCTCCTGGGGAGAATGAGTCCCGTAGTTATGTCCTGGCGTACCCATCTTGACACGAGTGGAAGATGGGGAGCCTGGGAGGATGTCTGGACAATTGCTTTTGAACAAGCAAAGGTTAAAGGAGTTTATTGACAGTCGAACACCAAAAATAACGCTTAATCAAAAGAAGAAGGATAAAAATAAAAACAGAAGTGCCTGGGCGAAGGGGAAATGAGATTGTGGCAGAGACCAGCAACGGAACCACTTCACGCCAATGCTCTTGGATTGGATGGGGGCCTGGGTAAACCGACAGTTCTCAAGAGTGGATACGTGCCCGAAAACCATATATAGGGGGCAGGAACAGGGTGCTACGGAAGCCAGAGGGAGGCGGAGAGTCCAGAGGAGCAATGTCTAAGCCTTGGGATGGGACCGTTGTGGCGATGTCATTCGACCGAGAGGAGCAGTGTCCGTTCACTACGGTTGGAATATCAAGGACCTGGTTGTTGACTGTGGAGGGGGGCGACACAGGCAACAAGAACTGAGGCCCCCTCCCAGCCAACACCGGTAATCATCCAGGAGGGCAGAATCTGTTTTGGCCCGCCGGCAGGACGCAAAACTGGGGGTTGACGGTGCGCTACAAAATGAAGAGGCATGCTCCCAGCTGATGGGCTTCTGTCAGGAGCGCATCCGAGACGAGATCTTTGGTCGTCAGCTATTGGGGATCCACTCGAGCAAAAATCCTTTTCCGGGGCGCAGGGGGGAACACAGTTGAGCAAACAACGGGTCGACCACATTTAAAAGCGACCATTTCCCTCGAAATGACAAGTAGGCAGAGACGAGTCAATTTCGCATTCGCATGACTTATAGCTATAGCATGATAGCCAGCACTTGAGGTGAGGATACATCCCTGTCAGCGCATGATTGCGCGCCATGAGTGCGTACGACCATCGTGAGATGAACTCGGAGATCGATCACCGCCGTCGAGAAAATTCGTCGGCAGGTCAGAGTTTCCGGATCGCCTGTGGTGGAGTGAAGGCAGCAGCCGGGCGTCGCCCATTGGCTGGCAGAAAAAGGATGCCTACAACCAGAAAAAGTGTCGGCGAATTTAGCAGAACAGACTATCGTAGCTAAGACCGCGTGTGGTTCACGGGTGGTTCCGATAGAAGCCAGTTGGAAGGCGCAATCAATCCCAGAAGACTGTGGACGCGCAGGCTGTGGAGTCCGGTCCGATAGTATCTCCGACCAAGCGAGTCATTGTCGCTGCCAATTGGTCAATGGCCGATGTCGGCCAGACGTTAATACCGAAAGTTTCCCCACAGCGGAGGCCGTTAGTCAGAACTAGTCGGCCACACAAAATTCCATTTTTGGAACGAACCTTCAACAGTTCACCAGAGAAAGGGGGAAACTCAATGCAAAGTGATTAGGGGGGACAGCAGAGCGAAATTCAGAACCCGAGGCCATGATGGAGATCTCTCTCTCTGTTTTTGCAAAGGGCTCTCTGGCTGCGTTGACCACTCTTTTGACTTCATTCTGAGGCATGTGCTGGAGAAACAATGAAATCATATTCGGATGGGATAATCGAAACCATGCATGACAGCCACACGACAGCTCCGAAACTGTTGTGGCATCAAGGCACTGTCCTTCCTTCCTGGGCCAATCGCCGTCCAGAGCGGATATTGATCCAGGTCAGGCACAGACAACGCAATCATCATCATGCGCAAATACCAACCATGGGAGAAATGCGACAAGAGGCGTACTCCGGACGGGATCCGTCTTTTATATAGACTCCTGTCTGCTTTGCTTTGGCGCCGACCTGTCTTTTGTAGGTAATCACCTCATGGAGCTCCTGTCCCGACCACTGCTGTCGTCCAACGGAGACAATGCGGTGGTTTGGGCACGCCGAAGCCGAGTGATGGTAGATTGAAAAATTGGTCCAACCAAAGTCCGACCTGTCCGGATCCACTTGTATGCGGATCATCCACCGCCATAGCGCGCCATCACCGACAATGTCTCATGCATATTCCGACATGAACTCTGCTCATGATGCTTGTTTTCTGCAGAGTGACTCTGAGTGAGAGTCGCTCATCCTAGTATGCGAGGAAAGGCTTGCAGTACTATTTTCAAGAGAGGTTCTGATGATATGGTGCGCCTCGGAGCGAGGAGAGGGTTCGGATATTCCGGGTATTCATATTGCCCTCGACTTTGAGATACTGGCATCCACTCGGGCTGAGTGAAATGAGCTTTGGACATGAGTGACGACGATTGGTACCAGCAGAATGCCACTATCCACTACTCATCCACTATCTGATGTAGGCATTGAAGTACAGTTAAGGCTAGCGAGGAACGCCAGTAGATCGGACGTGTGCGTCAAATTCGCAATCAAGCATTCGACCCGGGCATGATCTCGTTCGGCGGGCTTCGTTCGACCGATCAGAGAAGAAAGCATACATCTTGGTGGCTCGACCGTGTCCTAAACACTCTGGAGCATCAACACTGTCAGCATTGCTGCCATGGCTGTGAGACTATCCATCTACCCATCCTCAACCAAGGATGCGGGGGCGATACTTGTCTCCAGACTCGAAGCGAGCTTGCGAGTGGCTGCAGGCTTCCTCCGAGAACAGCTTGAAGTTGGACTATGACGCAGCCCTCCGCGTCATCAGCAGCTAGGCCATGGCCGCCATGCTCGCTCAAAACGGCCCCATCTCTCTGGTTAGTGACGCTAACGACTATTTAGCTCTGCTTACATCATACCTCTCGTCTCGACAGTGGGATCTCGAAGGAAAATCAAAGCTGACAGTGCATGAAGCTCAAAAGTCACGAAACAAGAGCCATGATACGATGCTGATGTTGATGGTAGGAACGATGGAGACTGCCCCGTGCGATGTTGATGGTTTGTTGATCACCAAGCGGCTGTAGAAGGGCTGGCCAATTACGCCAGCCTTCTTCTAGAGGTGATCCTGCTCGGCCCGCTTAGTCACCGCTGATCGCACTTTCTGACATCACGTGCGGTGTCTCCTTTTCTAAGGCTGCAAGGCTACACCCAGCACACCTCAGGCATCCATTTTCTCCGCGCTTGGATTCAGCTCCCATGAGAGCACAATGATGTCCGAGGATCTCGTGTTTTGATCTTGATTTTCGGTTTACAGTAGAGATAGCCTAGTGCGATGTAGAGAGTGAAACGTTCCTTAAGGCTGCTCTCTTGCTCGTTTCCGTTCACCTAAATGCCGCATGTCTCCCGCTCGTGCGAACTATATATAGTCATGGGCTCCACCTCAATCATGAGAAACCAAGACAGCATCACCATTACCTTAGGATGGAAGGCCGACGAGAGAAGGTCTCAACAGACTCGCTACGTGTATTGCTGGTGCTCATAAGATGCTTCAGTAAATGCCGTTCTGCGAAACTCCCCTATACGCCTGAATTCCGGTCATACCCCGAGTAAGTGGTATATGGAGGTTCAAATCGGTTGTGTAATCTACATCGCAGAGAGAACCTGCATTCAAACGGATACAGGTATAAATCCACTATTGATGCAGATGTAAGTTTTGATAGGATTAGCATGCTGGACTATGTGCTGTGATTACCAGAAGCAAGAATGAACACACACCTACACATACACCAGTCTCTTAGCTGTACTTTTGCAAGATTCTGTAACAATGATATCACCTGCATACAAAAAGTAGAGTTAAATTAAAGCAAGTCTCACATGCGCAGTATATACCATATCCCTAACCCAATCAATATGAGCAAACAACCCGAACCAGCAGGTATCTCTACCCCGAGCCTAAACAGTCCACAGCAGAGAGTATACATCCAGACCCAACACCCTTCTAGAGACTCTGCCCCGTCCACAGCATCTACCCCCTCATTAGCCTCTCCGGCACCTTAAACTCCGGCGGCACCACATACTCCCCCTTACAGCTCCCCACGGAACACCTCTCCAACCCGCACCGCCCGTACAGCCGGCAATAACACTCCTGCGCACTGGGACACGCCACGTGATTCAGCCGATCCAGATCCACGAGCCCGGGGGCCAACTCCCCGTCGGGGCGGACGGCACTCTGCTTCACGAACAGGATATGCCAGACATACGACAGGATGCGTCCGGCGACGCGATCGTACGCCGGCGCTGGGATCGCTCCGCGACGGTTCGTGGCCCGCGCGTGCATCCCGTCCAGCAGCCACTGGCGCAGCGCGATGTACTCGTCCTGCGAGTGCTGCCAGACGTTGGCGCGGGCGACGACGAACTGGGCGCAGCATTGTGCGCGGATGGGGTCGTTGCGGCCGAGGAGGACCTGCACCTGCGCGTGAGTTTCGTGGGCGCTGCTGCCGGGATGCCCGAACAGTGAGGCCAGCGCGCGCGGGAGCGCCACGTCCGAGGCCATGCGGGCGCTCCACGGCTCGAGGACGGACTGCAGGCGCAGCTCCAGGCTCCCCTGCGCGGGCTGCGTGGTCGGACACGTGCCCACGCTCCAATCGCAGCGGAGGTTGTGGTACCCCCAGGGCTGCAGGGCGGACGTGAGGTTCAGCGCGGCCAGCAGCGCGGCGTTGTCGTACTCCCGGTGGTCGTTGTGCCAGGCCCAGCGCGAGCCGTGCACGAACACCATCCCCGCCGCCGGGAGGTGGTGGTAGTTGTCGATGAGAAAGGTCAGGTACCCCATCGCCTCGTGGCCCCGGTTGGCCGGGACCTGGAGGTGGGTGGCATCCGGGTTCTTCGGTGCTGCAGCATCCGCAGTGTAGATGCAGAGGTGGTACTGCTTGCGCAGGGCGTCGAGCCAGGCGGAGTCATCGCTGGTGACTCGCGAGACGACGAGGGCAGGTTTCTCGGTTTGCTCGAGTCCCGGACAGATTCCCCGAGCTTCAGGAAGCTGGGACGCGGTGGTCCGGTAGGTGACTTTGGTCCAGGCGAAAGTCCGCCCGGGTGACGGGGGTTTGTTGAGGAAGAGAATCAGGCTCAGGATCGCGATGAAGAAGGCTAGCTGAATGACACTCTTACGCGTGCGTCGTCGCATTGTCGCTGATGCTCACAGCGGAAGACCGATCGGAGAATGTCTAGCGCGATCTAATTGGAATCATCGCGGTTGGCTTGGCGTGAATGGATTGAAGCAATTCGGAAGCGATGGAGAAAAGTGATTATTAATCGAGAATTAATCGGGAGCCACTTTTTGGGCCCCGCAGCGACCCGATAGGCGCGAGACGCCGGCGCAGGCCATCGCTCCCACGGGTCTCTTAATTTGGCAGATAAGGTAGGCTTCATTGCTGGCTGGTAGTTAAGGTGATATAGAAAATGTGTGTATAGTTTATGCTGCCAGGAAGATGGAAGAAATGGTTCCGACCGATCATCGGGTTGACACCTGCGGGGTAACATTCCCGCAATTCAATCCACCTCCCGCAAGGGATGAACGGATGAACAAAAATGGCATGCATACAGAGTAGATCTCTCATCTCAAAATGCCGGAAACGCGGCAAAATACACCTTGTAATGCGACATCTTCCAGTCCCCCTCCTGTCGGACCAGCTTCATGATCCCGCACCACTCCGGCGTCACACTGCGCCCGTCCTTGAGGTTATAGGTTACAGCGCCTCGTGCCAGAAAGGTGTCGGTGCCCAGCGGATCGATCGAGACGACGTGGTGGCTGCGACTAGCAACGTAATCCCAGGTAGATGCAAACAGTTGAATCAAGCCTAGCTCGCTCAAATTAATGAGGGAAGTCTCTCTCAGGCTGGGCCCTTGGACGTCGGTGTACGCCGGACGTACCTGGTCGGTCCGATACACCATGCTCCCCCATCTGCACGACCGCGTCCTGGGTGAAAAAGTCGGCGATGGTCTCGACAGCCCCGTCGACGTCGACGGCGGTGTAGTAGTCCTGGATCCACTGTTTGATGGTGGTATCGTGGAAAGAATCGGGATAGGTTGTTTGATGCATAGCGCGGTCCTGCGTTGGCGAGCAGGGGTGTTTGGTCTAGTCTGGTGGACAAGTGAAGATATCGTGAGGAGTTCGGCTGCTGGAGCTCCGAGACGAACGAGTGAGGGGTATCAACTGGGCCATGTGCATCGGCGTCAAGGACTCTTATGGCTGCTGGAGCGCCAGTCCTGATTAGCGGATGCTTGTTCTGTCTCACCGAGAAAAGGGAAAAGCAGAGCGAGATGCGCAGTTGGAGCCATCGAATGTGATAGATCATGCAGTGGTCGACTTGGCTTCCTGCTTAGCGCCTGCCTTTCCCGATTGAGCATCGTGGGCAGCGCTTGCGTTTGGTAGTCGCTGCGCTGCATACATGCAGCAGGGGAAGATCAAATCGGCAATTTCGAGCGATGGGATCTAGATGGTGGGTTGAGATGCAATTTCAAGTAGATGATACTACCTAGGGGCAAAATACGCTGGAGCAGAAGGGTCAGCCATTGCACATCTAGCGTTGGCGCTTACTGACAGCCAGCGCCGGGCGTGTTATTCGGCCGCCACGATTGCTTGCCAAGGTTGGCTGCAGCAGTTCCAATGATTGTCAAGATCACATCAACGGTGTAGATTGTGAATAGGTTCCAGTACCGGGAACGAGGTGAACATACTTCGCTTAAAGATAGGCGCCGCCTCAAGCATCAATAGTCCGACCGTCCTTGAAAGTGGCGCATAAATGTTCGCCGCGCCATAGCCCAGCCCTCACTGCTTATCACACAGTGTAACCACAACCATTATCTCCTCACTCCAATACTCGTCTCCAAGGATGCAACAAAGCAGCCCCTGTCACCTCATTAGCATCCGATCGACAGTTCCTCTTAGGTGGATGACCATGTGGAGCCGAGGCAATATCCCCCCGTCCATCATTCGCCGAGTGGAGCGATCGGCAACGATCAGCGAGATGTTCGTCCTGTACAACTCTATCGCGATCGATGTACAGTACCAGTTGTACCTACCTAGATACAACACCAAGTATACCGAAGTAATGCAGAATAGAACACCCCGAGGAGCTCAGCTCGGCTCAGCACAGCTCAGCTCCAGCCGAGGCGCATGCCTGCGAGACCAGGCAACAAACCACCCACCCCGGCCATCGAACGCCACCCTCACACCCTCAATAGTCCCGCCGTATAGATGATATCCTCGCTCAGCAGCCAGAAAAAGAAAAGCCGGTAAGAATAGACCGCAACTCTCACCACAGCCAACCAGCAATCCCCCTCTCGCCATCTCAGTACCGTATTGACTTCTGCCATTCTTCTTGCACCCCTTCGCAGCAGCCCAGACCGTCCCACCCACCGTAACACGAGCGAATCCGAAACACAACCAATCTATGCAGGAAGCATGTTCCGAGACCCCCAAACTTTCCGAACCACAATACAAGCTAGGTTTGCACGGGGCTTTGTCTCCCCCCGGGTAGCAGGTGGGTTTGCAATTGCACGGGGAGGGAGGGGCATGTCGTGTTACCTTACCTGAGCCACATGCCTGCGCAAGCACATGACATTTCTTCGTTACTTTTGGTATGAGCACCAGATCGGTTGGTTTCTATGTTTATCGACTCCTCCTCACCTTCACGTTACGTTTGGCCATTGATACACAAAGAATTGTATGAAGTATGGGTATGGTATATTACTATCAAGTCATGTATGTACGGGTAACTAAGGTAAGCATCATCGACAAGAATCCAGGCGTTAGAAAAGAAAAGGAGTAATTATAAGCGACAGGCGAACAGAACCACAAAATAAAAAAAAAAGAACCAAGCGACAAACCTACCAAGCATTCCAAGTGACAGCTCCAACCCCACCGATTGCGGGCTGTGGCACGAATTCCCCTATCGCACTCAGCCTGGAAACTTTCATGGCCCTTGCATTTCCGAGAAACGGTCGAATCTCCACAGCCCTAATCTGACTTCAGCTGTCCAAGCTCAGCTCAGCGCAGCCAGCTCTCTAGGGGTATTCTTCTGTAGCAAAGCAAAGCAAAGCAAAGCAAAACAACAACAACAACGCCCATCAAGACTGGACCACCGTCCCGCTCAACCGGCCCTCCGCCTGGAGATGATTCCACAGGTCGCGACACGCATCCTGCAACGAGCGTTCCGCCTTCCAGCCCAACTCCACCGCGGCGCGGTCGGCAATCGCGACGCACGATTCTACATCCCCCGGGCGGCGATCCGCCGTCCGTCGCGGGATCGGCTGGTGGCTGATCTGCTCCATGGTGGCGACGACCTCAGCAACCGAGTGGCCGCAGCCCGTGCCCAGGTTGAAGGTGCGGAACGATTCCACGACGCGACCCTCCTGCGCCGCCGCCAGCGCCGCGATATGGCCGCGCGCCACGTCCGAGACGTGGATGAAGTCGCGGATTGCCGTGCCGTCCGGCGTCGTCCAGTCGTCGCCGTAGATTGACAGCTCCGCCAGCTCCCCCGTCAGCACCTTCACCACCACGGGCACCAGGTTCGACGGTGTGCCCCGCGGATCCTCAGCTAGGAGGCCCGATGCATCGCATCCGACTGGGTTGAAGTAGCGCAGCCCAATGATCGTCCAGCTCGGGTCCGAGGCCGCCAGATCCGACAGAATCGCCTCGCCGAAGAACTTGGTGCGCCCGTACGGGTTCGTGATCCCCGTGCAGCCTTGCTCGACGGGCACCAGCTCCTGCCCGTCCGCGGAGTAGTAGGCTTCCGGCCGGTGCACGCAGTGCTCCTCGCGGAGGGTGCGGTGGGTCGCTGAGAGGGTGCCGTAGACGTTGGCGGAGGAGGAGAAGATGAAGGTCTTGATGTCGTGCTCATCCAGCAGGGCCACAAAGTCCACCAGCCCGCTGATGTTGTTCTGGTAGTACTTGAGGGGGTTGCGGAGGCTGTCGTGGACCTCCTTGTACGCCGCGAAGTGGATAACGCCCGTGATGTTGGAGCGCGCGGGGATCGGGCTCTCGTCTGTGCTGTTGCTGCTGGCGTGCGTGGCCAGGAGGGTTCGCATCGCTTGCGAGTCGCGATAGTCCATACACGCCAGTTCCGCCTGCGGACATTGGCTGGCCCGGCCCTCCCGCTCGTAGTGTTGTTTGGCCGCCCTCACGATCCGGTCGTATACTTCCTCGTAGCTGTTGCTGAGGTTGTCCACCAGCAGCACATTGTAGCCCGCCTTGAGCAGCTCCAGCGCCGTGTGGCTGCCGATGTAGCCCAGTCCCCCCGTGACGAGAATGTATTGCGCAGTGGCCGCACTGACGGCCGGCAGCGCAGCTAGGGCCAGGTCAAAGCAATCCTCATCGCGCTCCGTCTCCGGCGTGGATGGGGCGGAGAACAATGGCGTGGGCAGAGGGGAGCTGCCCTCGGACGGGGGGCAGGAGGAAGTGACAGTCATCGCAGCGAGCGAGAATAAACGAAAGGAATTACGGAGGAGGATTGGCGATGGGCTCCTACATAGAGAAAGACCGAGCGGGAAACCGAGGGTACCTGTAGTAAAGACAACACTGCCATCCTCCCTTCATCCCCTTACGGAATTCGGGAGGCAAGCGATGGGGGTTGCATCCAGCCCAGCGCCGGCATGATTTCATCGCCGAGTCATTGAGTAGTAAAAAGGAAAAAAGAGTATTAGGAAAAAAAAAAAAAAAAAAAAACAAAAAAAGAGGGAATAAAACGGACCTAGCGGAGCAGTCCAGCGATAGTCCGGCTCGGGTCTAGTAGCAGCAAGATCGTAATAGTATGGGAATCAGCGTGGCTTCCTAGTCAAAGTCCGTACACTAAACTACTAACTCCTACTACTGCTTGCAGGGCCGGTCAAGGCAGGGTGTGGATGCTGGGTCTTGGAGAAGAAAGAGGGAGGGGTTAGTGGAGGAGTCCCGGAGACATCCACCCAGGGAATTCTTACGGTACCTGAATAGATTTCCTGTTTTGCATTTCGTTTAAGGGCCATCGTGGGTAATTCGGTCCCTTCCATTAAATCAATGGCATGGAATTTCCTGGTCATGGCCAAAAATAGGGCATTGGCGCCGAGTCTCAGCCTCTGAGCAATACACGAGCCCAATCCCGCGGCGTTTGGTTCCATGTCGTAAGTAGCTGCTAGGTTGTATATGGTAGGTTTGTGGTCCCAAAAATGATGGCATTGGAGCTTGCATTCGCATCTCAAGTGTCTTTAAACTGTGCTAGCGTGGCCTCCATTCTTCCTCAGCAAGACTCCAAGTGGTTCCTTGCCCCCCCAGTGAGTACCATTGGGAGAAGTTGGAGACCGAAGAGGGGAGAGGAAGAAAGGCCCAGACTGTAAGGAGGGGCCCCACCAGGATGAGCAAGATGACTAGAGAGACTAAAATGTGAAAGCAAAGAAACATGACCAACGCAGTAAGACCAAGGCGAGGACAGACAGTCAAGGGAGTAGGCATGACTATACTAAACATTCTAAGCCAACGTCAGCCCCAAATGTCTCACTGGTGCAGCGACAACGCATCGCCATGATCAGTATAAATGGCCGAGCGTGAGGTGTTCCTGCACTTCCATCAGGCAACATGGCGTGCTTCCGTGATTGTGGCGACGAGATACATCGCTGTCCATCGTCATTCCAGAGGACCTGGTTTTTGCCAGATGGACCGTCTCTCTGACGGGCCGGATCAATGAGCCAAATTGATACATCCCGAAAGGGCTCCATCCGGCTCCACCAACGCTAAAGCTTGGACATCCAGGCTACGACGTTTTGAGCGAAGCGAGTATATGGCTGAGGAAAAATACTGGGAATGGCGACCCATGGGCTGGGCAATGCTGGGTTGGGTCCCGCGGGGGGTTTTTTTCCTCTGGATACTCTCTCCACTGGTTCATGTTTCAACTTTCTTCCTCGTAGTGACCTAACTACATAGCTAATTTACTGGTCGGACTCGACCAACCGCAGGGCCTCCATCATCATTCCCCAGCTCTGGGGTCCAAAGCGCTCGTAAAAATCACCCGCAATTTCGGTGACGAAGATGTAGGCAGCACGATGGCGCAACTCTTGGACCAGGGGACGCACCTCGTCGCGCGGCACCTCACTAATCATGTAGCCGCATTGGAGCCGAGGGTAGTCAAATTGCGCATAATAGCGCTGCACCTCATCGGAGCGATAGCGAGGATAGGGCTCTTCGCAGGCAAGGATGAGATCCGGACTCGGATCGGCCAACTTAGGGTCAGGCGGCGTGCCCGGGTTGTGGACAACCTGTCAGGGTGGAAGAAGAAGGATGGTAAGAAATTGGCTCGGAAACAAACTAAGACTTACTCGTCTGGTTTCACTGATAAGACAAATGACAGTCCGTGATAAAGGATCGTGCCAGTGCCACACGGGATGATAGTGTGGTGTAGTGTACAGAGTACGGAGGTAGTTACCGTGTTTTGTTTGTACCCGTTGTACTGTATCCGTGATGTATAGGCAAACACCGCAGACAAGGACAGTGCGGGATGGGAGGGGACGGCAGAGAAAAACGAATGGACGGAATAGAATAGAATGAGGTGCTTACCAATCGATCCCGAAGGATGCCCTCCACGGATTTAACATACTCGTGCAGTTTCTGTAGGTACTCGGCTCGCTCGGCAGTATGATGGTTGGGAGTCTCGTCGACCATAATGCCTCCTAGCCCTAGTCCTGGGCGCTCGTCGGTCGCCCAGTGCGCATAGCGATCGATTTCCGCCAAGGTCTCGGGCAGAGGCTTTCGGCAATAGTCAATACGGATGTAACCGATCAGGTAAACATTCGGATAGCTGTTCAGACGGGCCACTTCGCGTGCATAATTCGGATCGGGAGAAGGTATATCCCCGGGGCCACTGTTGGGGTTGATGATCACCAGAAATTCCAGATCGGGATGGGTCTCAATCCTAGTAGTGGTGATCGGTGGTTAGAGTGGGTAAGTATATTCCAAGAAGACCTCAACCTTGACGGAGAAAATGAATTCCATCCCCGATGATGCAGGAACCACGAGAACAGAGAAAATGCAACCAAGGAAAAACTAATCCAAAGGGATGGGGCCGCGGTGTTTAGGCGAAGGGAGGCATCAAACTCAAAAATGAGGGAAAAGGAAAAAAAAAAAAAATGGACAAAAAAATGGAGGGGACTTTACGCGTCATAAAGTGGATCCCAGTTCTTGGGCAATGGATAGATATACAAAGGTACCAGCACGCCAGCCTTGGGAAGGGGCGTGGATGACATGGTTGGTAGTGAGCGCAAGAGCGGGAGAGACGACGGTGCAGGATAAGGTGCAGGTGCAGGTGCAGGCACAGAGGAGTAGAGGAGTAATCAGAAAAGGCGGCAATGGGGAGAGAGGGGACGAAGATGATGGTGATGCTGTGTGATAAACCAGGTTTATTTGTCAGTGTTCCTGGTTCGGCTTCTTATAACTAGACCGATTATTAAAATTCCAAGGAACGACGAGATTACGAGAGAGGAAGGGGTAAGGAAGGAGTGTGTAGGAGTGTAAGTGTGTGGAGATTAGGACAAAAGACAACGTGGTTGAGGGAAAGAGAACCTTGGGAGGCTTGTGAAAAGCTTTCAGCCTACCTGTCAGCCAAGACCGGCACTCAACTACCAGGCAGCCACCCAGAAAACCATAAAAACCATGACGATGACAAGACGTGATAAGAATGAGATTATTAGTGAGTAAAACATCGAAGAGGACCGTGCTAGTGCGCCTTTAGTGCGCTTAGTCCTCACAGTCCGCATAATTAGTCAGTTAGTCCGCAACGCTATCATGATTCCGTTGATTCCGTTCCTGTCGTGCCCTGGGCCAGAACCTGCCATCTACTCGAATAATCACCCTTCTCAAGCCTTTCTCCCCTCTCAGCCCCCATCATACCATTCAACTGACCAATTCAATCGCATCCAAGCTTTCCTACCCCCTGGCCACCATATCTCTCACCAATTACCAGTGCTGGACGCATCCCGTCTTGTTTTCCCAAGGCTGTGGTGGGGCTCGCCTAGGGCCGCCGGCCTACTTGTGGGTCGATCGACACAATTCACACTCTCAGTGTCTCATACACACACACACATACACACACAGACGCTGCTCAGTGCGTGATTGCTTTGATCTATCGATTAACTCGGCATCAGGTCGATAATCGTGGGCCCCGCTGGGTCAAAACTCTCGTAGTAATCTTCCGTCAACGTCGTCAGGAACAGGTACTCGGCCTTTAGACTCAATTGGTCCACCAGGCTCCGCAGCGTACTGTTCCCCATCTCGGGGACCGAATGCAGCATGTAGCTATACCCGGTACGGTCGGACGCCAGCGCATTGAGCTTGCCTTTCTGCGTGTGGTAATCATCATACGAACTCTCAAATACCACAGTGACGTCGGTCGTGTTGGAGTTGTAGCGACCATCCGGAATAGTGCCGGGATTGTGGATAACCTGAGAAAAGACCAGGGAGTGGGACGTTAGCGCTGGATCTCTCCCAAGAAAAATAAAAAAAAAAATCTTGGTTCCATCGATCCCAACCCCTCTCACCCCCTCCTCGTTCCTGGATTTCTTCTGCTTACCATTCGTTCCCCTTGCAGCCCAGTGGAATTCTTCACCACCGCGTTGATGGTGCTCATATACTCGACCTTGTCCGCCGAGTAAACGTAGGGCGCTTCGTCGAAGAAAATCCCATCCATAGCTAATTCAGCCGACTGGTTCGCCCACCCCGCATAGGTTGATACATCGGCTAACACCGAGGAGATGTTGCGGGTCGCGTATCCAGTGCGCACATATCCCACCCGGCGAACGTTCGCGTAGCTTGCGAGGCGTTCGACCTCGGTGCTGTATGCTTCATCTGGATACGTGGTGTTCCCCGGTCCACTTGAGGGATTGATGATCACCGTGAAATTTAGATCGGGGCGTTCAGTGATTCTGGGGCGGAGGGTCAATGAGGGTCTAGGGTCTAGAAGGGGGAGTAAAAAAGCAGACAGGCCACAACTCACTCCTTATACAAGGGACTCCAGGTGCTGCTGTTGGTAGGGTAGATGTACAAAGGGTACAGCACGTTGATCTGCTTCGAGTGATGCTTCTTCCGGGTCAGGAGGACAGCGCATGGCACCACAATGACCACAATCACCACTACGGCCACCGCAATGGCAATGGCAATGCACCAGGGCCGCCGCGGGCGATTAAGATTTGGGCGAGGCATCCATGCACCAGCTAGCCAGAACCGTGGGGAAACGAAACGGAAGTACGGAGGAGTGGCTCAGGGAGCAGAAGGGAAATGGGCCTCCGGGCTCGAAGTCGCAGGTTTCTGGGGGGGTTGGGACTTGGGACTTGGGACTTGTGGGAGAGATGGCACACTGCGAAGGTTATAAAAATGGTGAAATCCTAATCCAGCCCAGTGCGTGAGAGGACTAGCCTAGCTTCCGACCTCGAAATGGCGGAAGAAATCTCTTTGTAGACGAGAATGCGATGGTTCTCGGCGTTACCTGTGCGGCGCTGGCATTGG